GAATGATTAAGAGGAAGAAGTTGATGCAGGAGAAAGAGTGACTAGTTGTAGGAACTGAGTTCTTTAGAAGATGGGTTAGAATTAGTGTATAAAATTAGAGGACTTAGTATTATCACCATGAGCGTAAGGTGTGGTGCTCACTCCTGAAATCCCAGCAGCTCAGACGCTGAGGCAGCTGAGGCAGGAGGATCCTGAGTTCAAAGCCAGCCTCAGCAATGGTGAGGCGCTAAGCAACTCAGTGAGACAAAATAGGGCTGGGGATGTGGCTCAGTGGTCGAGTGACCCTGAGTTTAATCCCTGGTACCAAAAAAAAAAAAAAAAGAAAGAAAAAAAGAAAAGAGTATCTATGACCATGGAGATACTAGCTGTGTATTCTGGAATGAAGCAATTAGAAATGAGGAGGTTGTTTAGTCAGCTTTTTCGTTGTTGTGAACAAAAGACCTGAAAAGAACAATTTTAGAGAAGGAAAAGTTTATTAGGCTCACACCTTCAGAGGTCTCAGTCTATAGAAAGGTTACTCTGTGGCTCTGGGCCTGGAGGTGAGGCAAAACATCAGGGTGGAAGGGTGTGAGGGAAGAAGGCAGCTCAAGACATGGCAAACAGGAAGCTGAGATCAAGCCCTGCTCACCAGGGACAAAATGTAAACCCAAAAGGCACACCTCCAGTGACCTACCTCCTCCAGCCGCACCCTCCCTGCCTATAGTTATCACCAGTTAATTCATTCCAGTGGATTAATGCACTGATTAGGTTAAGGCCCTCATAACTCTTCATCTCTGAACTTTCTTACATTGTCTCATTTGTGAGCCTTTGGAGGACACCTCACATCGAAAACATAATAGAAGTCAAGGAACAGAGAGGCCATCTGTGAGACAGATTTTCTATATGAATGTTATATACAGGGCTGGGATTGTGGCTCAGCGGTAGACTGCTCACCTAGCATGGGCGGGACCCAGGTTCGATTCTCAGCACCACATAAAAATAAAGGCATTGTGTTGTGTCCATCTACACCTTAAAAAAAAAAAAAGATTTTTTCTCTCTCTCTCCTTAAAAAATATTATTTACATCCAAAATGTTGATAACAGTAGCAGGGGTCGGGGGGAAGACAGTAGGTCAGAATGAATTAGCAAGGAGATGGGTTGAGACTGTAGCATGGTGGGCAGCATCATGTGACGCTGTAGGATGGCCTACACTTCAGACACAGGGGAGTTCTTGAGGGAGGAGGTTTTGAGTGAGAGTTTCCTTTAGATTGTAGTTTATTACTGGACACTGCAAGTTTAATATTTTATTAAATTGATCTGAATTAATGAAAAAAAGCTCTGATAAGCAGTGAGTGCTGATATCTCAGAGAGACATATTTTATGTCTTTGGCTGGAGGTCTAGTCTTTCAAATTAAAGCAAATGAATCCACTCTGAGCAGGTCTCTAGATCTAGGAGACAGTTAGAAATTGTGCATTATGTGACTGAAAGGATGGATCAGCAAAATTGAGACTATGCATTCCTCTGTAGGACAAACCAAGTGTTTTCTTCTGTAAGGAAAAAAAAAAAAACAAAACCCAGATGGAGGAGCAAACTATAAATTAAGAGAGACTTTTTAACCAATTGCAATGTATGGATTATATTTGGATCCTAATTAAAAAAAAAACTGTGAAAGCATTATAAATTAATCAAGACTTCTGATGGGATGTTGGATGACACTCATGATTTTCTGAATTTATGCCTGGTAACAGTATTGCATATTGTGCATACACGTGTGCTTGTGTACATGCACACATTTGAAAAAGTTATCCTTTAGATATACTTGCAGACCCACTTATAGAGAAAAACAAAAGCCAAATTCATGAAAAAATACTTTTATAAAGTTAGTAACCAAGACATCTTATACTCAAGACTTTCATAGAAATATTAATTTATTCTTTATGTTCATACATAAATAAGTAAAGCACCATGAACCCAATAAAAATGGGCAGAAGACACAAGAAAGCACTGCATAAGAAGAAATGCTTATGGTATTTTTGTAAGCGTTGGAGGTTATATAAATCTTTCTAGAGATTGTAGCATTGCTAATCTTTTGCTAGAAAACAGTTGGCATCATGTCCTAAAATGGAACATTTATATGCACTGTGATTTAGTTCCACTCACCAGTATATACCAAATAGAAAATCCTTCCCTGTACAAGAAGCAAATAAAAGAATTGTAGAAATAATGTAAATACTATTTAGTGGTAGAAGATGAATAAATAGGATAGTAACAGACTAGTAAGTGAATAAATAGAAGGTAATGTACAATGGTCAAATCTGATAACTATAGCAAATAATATAGATGAAATTCAGTAAAGTAAATTGCCAAATATTACATATGGTGTACTCCTCCTTTTAAGCCAAAGAACAATTAAAATAAAAACATGAATATGAATTGTTCATAAGCATATGGAATATATTTATGCAGAGAGAAAGGGAACATACATATTGGTACATTTATCTTTGAGAGAGAAAGCAAGCTTGTGCAATGGAGCATGCCTGTAATCTTTATCTCTCTATATCTTAAAAATAAAATAAAATAGTCGGGGGGGGGGCAGGGCTCTGGGAATGTAGCTCAGTGGTAAAGTATTCTTGGGTTCAATTCTAAGAGAAAGAGAGAGAGAGAGAGAGAGAGAGAGAGAGAGAGAAAGCAAAAGCAAAGTAAGGATGAGCAGGGCTTCAGGATGATGGCTTCTTTGGGTGAGGAGAAATCACCTTGCAGAAGGCAACTCTCTGTATGGTTAGAGGGCGGATATTGTCAGGGTTCTGCCTTTTTGTCTGGGTGATGGGTTTATGTATGTTTATTTATCAATCACGAGTCTTATTATTTTTTAGACAATAATGCATGTTTATTCTTATGGTAAAACCAGGTATTTGAAAGACCACTATTTTTAACAGAGAATTGGTATGTTTTATGGGGAGATAAATATTAAAAATTTATTTACAAAAACTTGACTGTGTCATACTAGGCTTGAGCGATTCCAAGCGATTCTCCATAGGTACAGTCATATAATCTTCTTTCTCATGCCTACTCCCAAATTAATTTTGAATATTTTGTGGCATGCTCAGATTTGGTTTTCTGTCTCATCTAGTTTTTTGTGTCCTTTTGTGTATTTTGTTATGTATAACGTTAGGATTCCTTTTGACCAAAGTGCATGAAATATAATTTGCTTCAATTCAGTTCCCAGTACTCCCCTTTCGCTCCCCTCCTTCCTCGCCCTGGTTCTTTCTGCTGTTTACTGTTAGTTTTTTTCTTTGTATTTAGTGTCTTGTGGAGATACATAAGGTGAGACAACTCTGGTATGTTCTTGTATTTACATAGGAATGTTAGGTCAGGCTTATTCCACTGTTCTTTTCTTATCTAGACACTATTTTTCCTTCCCTTCCCCTCAGTCTCCTTCATCTAGTTCACCAATGTTTCTTCTATTTTGATGGAATCCACCCACTCTTCCCTTCCTCTCTCTTTCCCCCTTATTTTGGACTAGCTATGACATATTAGAGAAACCATTCAACCTTTGGCTTTCCGAGTCTGGTTTATTTCACTTAGCATGATAGTCTCCAGTTCCATTTGTTTACCAGAAAATGACATAATTTCATTCTTCTTTATGACTAATACTCCATTGTGTATACCATATTTTCTTTATCCATTGATCTGTTGAAGGGCATCTGAGTTGGTTCCATAGCTTGGCTATTGTGAATTGTGCTGCTATAAATATCAATGTGGCTGCATTCCTATAGTAATCTGCTGATTTTAGAGCTTTTGAATATATACTGAGGAGTGGGATAGCTGGGTCATATGGTGGTTTAATTTGTAGTGTTTTGAGGAATCTTCGTGCTTTCTCTGAGTGGTTGCACTAATTTGCAGTCCCACTAACAATGAATAGTGTATGAGTATACCTTTCCCCCCACATCCTCTCCAGTACTTATTATTATTTGTATTCTTAATAATTGCAGTGCTAACTAGAGTGAGATGAAATCTCAGTATAGTTTTGATTTGTATTTCCTTGATTGCTAGAGATATTGAACATTTTTTCATGTTTTTGTTAACCAGTTTTATTTCTTCTTTTGATAAGTGTCTGTTTAGTTCTTTTGCAAATAAAGTTTATTTATTGTTAATATCCCCTATTTTGAGTGCCTAGAAATATATACACGCACACATGTGTGCACCCATTCACATTTATATATTTAGTTTTTTATTATGGAAATTTTTAAGCATATCCAAAAGTAAAGTGATGAGCTTGTGTAACTCTTCATTTGTCTTCTGCAGTACTAAGTGTGCTGTTTATCTGCTTCCTCCAGACCATATTATTTTGAGACAGGTCCCAAGCATTTTATATTTAATCTGTAAACTGTTCAGTATCAAATTTTAAATAAATAATTATTATCACATTTAAGAAAGCAGTTAGCAATCTTAACCTTCCAGTCAGTATTCTGGCTTTCTTGATTGTTTAATAAGTAATTTGAGTCTAGACAATATATTTGGTCAATATGTTTCTTGGATTACTTTTAATAATTTCCCTTTTCCTCTGTTTATTGCATTGACTTTTTATTTGTTGAAGAAAGGATGATTTTATTCCCTTTCTGATTTTTTTCATTGTATCTCTGCAATATACTTTTCTATGTCTAAGTATTTTCTTGTTTATGTTTAAATACATTATATATTATCTCTGTTGACTGTAAACAGATTTTTGCTTACCTGAAAATTAATGCTCAACTAACCATTGTTGAGGAATGGAGGATTTCAAAGATTGTGTGAACATGCAAGGAGACTCTGAAGGGGAATCTGCGGGCCTCAGGAAGTAGACTGCTTGTGTAGTGCTCTGAGTTTATGATGCTGATTATTCTGATAACATTATATAATTTGCTGCCATTTTAAAATATTATAAAATACTGGAATATGAAATTGTAGTAAAAACAGATATATTAAGTTTATTTTGTTAGAAATAACATTTTTTATTCAACTTTTCTTCATTTACATAATAGATACCAGGTGATCAGCACTCCAACAGATTTTTTTATGGTAATGGAATATGTGTCTGGAGGTGAATTATTTGATTACATCTGTAAACATGGTCGGGTGAGTAATAGAATTCTATCTAGTGTATTAAGCCTTTAAATTAAAGAAGAGTAAAGTATTGAGACATAGCCAACCACAAAGATATCTTCAGAGTTTGAGTTGCTTCTGTAAACATGTACAACTAAACAGAGTATTAGACAAATTTTCTGTAAGTATACCTTCCAGTATACTCATTTTGGGAAATATATTCCACTTAGTTGCCAAAATGATTGATATGCTTTCCCAAGTCTGTTCTGTAAAATTGTGTTGAAAGTTCAGTTATTTTCTTTTCTTAGCACTTTCACATAAGTTGTTTTACTGATAACTCCCCAAAATGTTGTGTACATTTAATATTAATTGAAAATTAAACCTTCTGCCTTACAGCACACAGCAAAGCAAAACTTGTTGAATAATAGGTTGAACTTTGACAAGTTTTTGGTTGACTTATTTTGTTTGATTGTTGAGAATTGAATTATCTAGTTTCCTGCTTAGTTTGATTTAGACTGATTATGAAACTAAAACTCCTACTGTGTAGATGTCCCAGATTTTTTAATGCAGTTTCTTTTATACTTGATAGGTTGAAGAGATGGAAGCTAGGCGGCTGTTTCAGCAGATTCTGTCGGCGGTGGATTATTGTCACAGGCATATGGTTGTTCATCGAGACCTGAAACCAGAGAATGTGCTATTGGATGCACATATGAACGCCAAGATAGCTGATTTTGGTGTGTAATTCCAGGCTTGTTCAGAGAGGCATCGCCGCCTGTGTCAGTGAGGAATCCTGTGTCAGTAACAACTCTCACAGAACTGAGATCGCTTTCAGCCTTGTAAATTTTGTACCATGAAAAGGGATTAGTTGCAGTCGCCACATTAAGTTGTTCTTTTCATTTAAATATACTTAAAAATTACAGATAGTCTCCAGAAAACTAGTTAGAGGGATATGTCAAGGTAAATCCTTTCTATATGCATTTTCTCCTAAGAAAATGATAACTGTGTTAGGGGAGTCCCAAACTTGTTTGAAAATATGATGAAAGTATGGATACTTTCCCTGATAAATGCCCATAAACAGGCTCATGAAAATTTGCATACAGTTTAGAAAAAGTTTTATTGTCCTCTGAATTGATCCAGGAGAAGTGCTTGGATCTTACAGTAATATCTAGTAACTTAATGAGAAAATGGGAGTTTTATAGGGTAAATAAATGTGATTTTTATGGTCCAAACAAGTTCTGGGGTAAGCGCGCTTGGAAAGGATGCCATAGTACTATGAGTATTTGAGAAAATGGTTAGGACAAGAGGTCTTAAGGAAAGAGAAATGGAAAGGTGCCAAAGGTTGGTATTGCTTTTTTAAGTTTTATTCTATGCCTTGTTTTAAATATAAACATGGAAACTAGTTTCACTATTTCTCTTTCTTCTGTAAATCATGAAACTCTTTTAGTTCAGCTAGATTTTGGGTTCAATAGATTATTTTTTCTGTGTTGAATTAAAGTTTTACAGTTAAAAGCTTTAGGAAATAATCTGCTTATGAATTGAAGACTATCTGATTTTGAAATACTGATTTTTTTTAACCATGGCTTTCAAAAGCATAGTTTAAAAAAGTAGTAGCCTATATATTATTCTTTCAACCATAGAAGCAGATAAATAATATTTTGATACTTTTATTTTTAGAAATGCTAATATACTTTAGAGTAACCTTATTTGTGAAGTGAATCAACATTTTTATTTAGAAAGGAGTTTAACTACTGTCATTCACATGATATCTTTAGTTTTTGGGGGGTCAATGTAAGCACTCTGAAGTGTTTCTTTCCACTTTTAACAAGTGCTTTTCATTATTTTTTAATAATTAAAATTATAATTTATAGAACATTAAACACTTGAAAGTTTTTATATTTTTATCTATACCTGAAAAACTAGCAACAAGTAAACATTGCTCTTAATTTCAGGATTATCCAACATGATGTCAGATGGTGAATTCCTACGAACTAGTTGTGGATCTCCAAATTATGCAGCACCTGAAGTCATCTCAGGCAGGTAATAATATATCATTCTGATATCATTTAATCATAATAGATTCTCTTTGGAAGATAGGATTTTTTTTTCCTTCTGTGATGCTGGGATTGAACCCATAGCCTTGTGCTTGCAAAGCAAGCACTCTACCAACTGAGCTAAGTCCCTAGCCTGCAAGATAAGATTTTTTAACACAGTAGAAACAATTTTTTTTAATTATTGAGGGGGATGGTTATATTAAAAATTTTTAAGTTTCAAGTGGATGTTATAAATGTATTTATAAAGTTTTTTTTTCATTAAAAATAACTGAAACAGGGCTGGGGTTGTGGCTCAGTGGTAGAGCACTCGCCTAGCATGTGTGAGGCACTGGGTTCAATTCTCAGCACCGCATACAAATAAATAAAAAATAAAGAACCATTGACCCCTAAAATAAATAAATAAATAAATAAATAAAATGACAAACAAATATCAGTGTGATGTCTGTATTTTATTTCAGAAAAGGTCAAGTAAGAGTAAAAATTTGCTAAATGCAACCTCTTGTCATTCTTTATCAGATACAGTCCTTTAATAGTTTACATATTTAATTAAAGTCTGTAGAATATTGTTTTGTATTTTGTCTTTGGAATAATGAAATTTTGAGGGAAATTATTGTTTCATGAAATTATACAAGTGGAGATTAATTATGCAAGTAATTTATTCATTGGTACATTATGAAATGTTTATACAGATTGCCGTGGTGAAGTCAAATCTTTCTACAGTGGTTGGTGTCTGATTTTAAAAATTAACAGAATTACTGAAAAGATGTCATCGCTAGCAGCAGATATTGAGTGTCTTTGTCCATTTGGGCTGCTCTTAACAGAGTACTACCATAGACAGAGTGACTCATAAACAACAGAAATATATTTCTTATACTTCTGGAGACTGTGAAGTCCAAGAACAAGGAGCTGAAAGATTGTGTACCTGCTAAAGTCTGTTCCTTATAGTACAGTGTCTTTTTACTATAAGCTCACATGGTAGAAGGAAAAGGGATCTAGATCTTCTGAGTGATCTCTTTATTAAGGGCATTAATCCAGTTCATAAGGACTTCATTCTCATGGCCTAATCTCCTTCCAAAGTCCCCGCTTCCTAATACTATCATTTTGGGTGTTAGAATTTCAGCATATAAACTTTTTGGGGACACAAACATTTATATATGTTTCAAGGAGTTTGGGTAATACAGTAAATAATGTAATTGTGCAACAGTATTTTTTATAGAAACATTATATTCTTCTCATTAGAATTGTAGAGATTTATTTTGTTACTGCAGATCCAGGATTGAATTGGTAATATATTATCAGGAGAGTTTTCATGATGTAGAAAGCTGAAAGGAAAAATGGAAATGATGTCTATTGTAGACATAGGTTATCTGGAGCACAGGTGATCTTTATTCTGTGAGTTAGCAAGTGAGTAGAATGAAAGGTAGTAGGTACTCAATATGACAGTAAATTTACATAGTACTAGTTAGGTACTTTAATTTGTCAGATATTGTTCAATATAGGTGTGCAAGGGATAAAATTTTGATTATATATGCATTTTGTTTTTTTTAATAAGGGGAAAAGATTAGCTTATACCCAAAGTATTGCTTTTTCAAATTTGTTACATACTTTGATGTCTCCTTCAAAAATTAAGTAGAAAATGTTATAGTTTTTATTGGTAAATTACAATTAAATGAATTTGTGTCAAATAAAGAAAAGTATCATATCCTCTTGACAAATTTGCATAGTAATTGGTCAAACCAATTATTCCTTATGGAAAACAACATAAATGTTCAAAGCAGTCATGGACTTCATTAAATATCTTGAAAATCAATATATACTGAGTTGGCATTAAATAAATATATAAGTAAGGTATATAAAAATGGGAAAAAGGACTAAAATTGTAATTAAAGTAGTAGAACACTTGCCTAGAATGTGTGATATCCTAAAAAAAAAAGAGAGAGAGAAAATGATTCATGCATTTCAGGTTTGTATTATCATCTTATTTTAGATTGTATGCAGGTCCTGAAGTTGATATCTGGAGCTGTGGTGTTATCTTGTATGCTCTTCTTTGTGGCACCCTCCCATTTGATGATGAGCATGTACCTACATTGTTTAAGAAGATCCGAGGGGGTGTGTTTTATATTCCAGAGTATCTTAATCGTTCTGTTGCTACTCTGCTGATGCACATGCTGCAGGTTGACCCCCTGAAACGAGCAACTATCAAAGACATAAGGTAAGTATTCTTTTTGTTCCTGTTTTGCCCATCTTCTATAGTAATAGTGAAGCCAATTGCTTGCTTTATAAAATTAGACTTTAAATATTTTCTAAGTATTTAACTGACCTTCTTACACAAGCCTGATCATGTCACTTATCTTTCAAACATTTCACACTGATGCCAAAACTTTTTAGCTCAAATAGCAAAGCATGCAAGACACTTCATAAGGCCCTACTTCTCCTGAAGTCTTGTTGTCTGTTTTTATCATCACAGTCCTTGTACCACTGCTTGAACTTGTTGAACTTGCCCTTGTTCCTCAAATATCAGATTCTCTGCCTTTGTGTCCCTGTTATGCTTTTTGTCTTGATGGCTTTTGATAGTCTTCCATTCACCCATTAGGGTTCTGCACACATGCTACCTCCTTTACAAAATCACTTCTGATTCTCCCAGGCAGGTTTCCACCTCTGTGATGTCAGTCTTTGGTTTGTGCTTTATTATTTCATTCTCATACTATATCTAGTTGGTGTGTCTTTCTCCTTTCTTAAATTATGACTTCATTAGAGGAGAGTGTGTCTTACTCATCTTTCTGTATACGTTGGTGCAAGGCATAGAAATATATGTACAGAAGGTACCTAAAGAAATTTCAAATGGAAAAATAGGGAGAGGTTCATGTATTTTACCTACAACTGATGGAATAAAGCATAAAAAAGTTTTGCTAAGTTTTTTAATCCAGTAGTTACTAGTGGGTTTACTGTGAAGGATATATGAGAAAGTTTGGACAGTGCAATTGCTGGTGCTGCCACGAGTATGACCTTTATATAGCACAGGCACCAGAATATGTCAGTGCCTTCTGCTGATGACTTGTCCTTTTTTTTTTTTTTTTGGAGGGTTTTTGTTTTTACATAAGATTTCATCCATGCTTGTTTACAAACATATATATATATTTAAGTGTATGTAAGTAAAAATATATATATATATATATATATATATATATTTACTTACATTGGTAGGATTAATTCAGAAATTGGCTCCTAAAATTAAAAAGCTGTAGGTATGGCTTTGAAAATTGGCAGCTTACCTTTTTGCAAAGATTTTATGTTCTGTTGACTAACTTAATGAATTTGAATAAAAATTTTAGATTTTCTCTATCTACTGGCTTTTAAAAATTAATTTATTGGTATAATTCGCTTATTACAAATCCATTCCTTTAAAATGCATAATTCACTGGTTTTTTAGTATGTTCACAGAGTTGTATTGTTACCATTATCTAATTCTAGAGCCTTTTATCCCTCTCAAAAGAAACTGTACCACTAGTCGTCACTTCCCATTTCCCTTTCCTCCTAGCCTGTGTCAACCACTAGTTTACTCTCTGTCTTTATATCTATTCTGGTCATTTCATATAAATGAATTAATAGACTCTATGGCCTTTGTGTCTGACTTCTTTGTTTTAGCATAATATTTTCAAGGTATTTCCATTGTGTAGCATGTATCAGTACTTCATTCCTTTTTTCCTTGATCAATATTCAGTTTGTTTATTCATTATTTGATGGACAGTTGAGTTGTTTCCACCTTTTGCTTTTTAGGTCTGACACTGCTTTGAACATTCACATACATATTTTGTATGGTCATGTTTTTAGTTTTTATGGTTTTGTTTCTAGAGTTTTATTATAATTGTTCTGTGCTGTCATTGTCACTGCTCTTATTTGTTTAGTGATTTCCTAAACTAATTTATTTTTTTCTTTTTTTGGTACTAGGAATTGAACCCAGGGGCTCAATTCCTACTGAGCCACAATCCCTGCCCCTTTTTGTATTTTGTTAGAAACAGGGTCTCACTGAGTTGCTTAGGGCCTCACTAAGTTGCTGAGGCTGGCTTTGAGCTCACGATCCTCCTGCCTCAGCCTCCCAAACTGTCGGGATTACAGGTGTGCGCCACTGTTCCTGGCCTAATTTCTTAAAATCTGTATTCTTTGTCATGTATGGTTGCTGAAGTCTATCTTTATTAGCTAAATGGTCAGCTAATGATTAGACAGATTTCTTAAAATGCTGTGATCTGTGCTGGGTTTGGTGGCACACCCAGCTACTTAGGAAGCTAATGTAGGAGGTTCACTTGTGCTCATGAGTTTAAGACCAACAAGGACAATATGGTGAAACCCCATCTTAAAAAAAAAAAGAAAACAACAACAACAACAACAACAAAAAACTGGTGATATAATAAGAATCGTGTAATAAGAATTGTAATGCATTCCACTGTCAAATATAAATAAAAAATTAAAAAAAATAATAATAAGTCCCCTAGCCTTAGCTTTGATGAGAAATTATCTGTGTATCTTCAGTGCTCTGACAGGCAGTTGTTTATCACTTTATCTTAGCCGTCATCTACTTTGCAGAGCATCAAAGTTGGCCAGTGATGAGAAATTAGAGCCTTTTCAGTTCTTTCTTGGGCATGCGCACACCCCTGCATATTTGTTCCTGGCCACCTTAAATCCCAGGAACATATGAAAGTTTTTCAAAGACCCCTTTGGAAGATTTTCCTTCTTAAGTTTTTGGGTCAGCTTCTTGGTTATGCATCTTTTATTGCTGCTTCAGACAGATGGGATTTAAACAGTTGCTGTTGACTGTTTTTGATGAATGCCCTGGGAGAAGTTTGTTTGTAGTGAGTGAGCTCTGATTCCTGTCAAATAAAGCAAGGCCTATCAGTGGAGGTTTCCAGGGAATTGCTAGCTGTGTAATATAATGACAGTTCTCATGGGGTAGGACTTTGAAGAGTTCTGAACCTGCTTTGCTCTTCTGTCTATCTTATCCTGTGGTTTTTACACTGTTGGTTTTCTCAGCTATGTGATTGTGGACTCTTGGTTTTTAAATCTACTATGTAGCTAGAGAAAGGAGATGAAGATAGGACATCTTAAAAAGCCATATGTCACACTTTTCTTGCTGAGGTTCAGCCATTTTTCTTGAATAAAGACTTCTCATATTGTGCAGAATTATGAAATTCTGCAATTTTCAGAATTATGAAAATGTTAATTTTTGGCAACTTTTGCAACAACTCTCAAGAATACCTGATTTCTTTTACTGCTGCATCTCATTACTATGTTCTCATGATATTGGGCTAGTTTAGTTCCTGGAGCATGTTAGACCTCTTTCTTGTCTCAAGGTCTTTGTGTAGACTATTTCTTCTCTGGGAATACCTGCTTCCCAACTCTTTGTTTAGTTGACTTCTGACCATTCTGGTGTTTGCTTAAATGTTACTCAGAGAGCAGCTTCCTTTATCTCTGCCTCTTATTCTGAATTATATGCTCTCATTTTGTTCTCTGCTTTTCCACCCTCAATCTTGATCACAGGATTTACATACTTGTATGTATTTGTAACTCTATATTTATTCTTATGAATACTTGTTTAATATGTATCAGCTAGCATACAACCTGCCAGGAGGAATGTGTCTTCTTGTTTATAGTTTGTCCTCAGTAAATGTTCATAAATAATCAGTGAAATAGAAAACATTCAATCAAAATGTATATTGATCTGATTTTAACCTAAGGGGTACCCAGTTCTAATATGTAGCAGTGCTTAAACAGTCTTGAGAGTGTGTTAAGTGAAAAGGATGTGATAACCTAGGAGGGCAATACTAATGCCAGGTGCAAAGGCCCAGAAGTGTGAAAAAATAAGATTTAGGAGAGTGGTTCTCAAACTATTTAGTTTTAATATCTCTTTCCATTCCTAAAAATTATTAAGGACCTCAAAGAAGTTGATTTCTTAAAAAATATAGTGTATATCTATCAATATTTAGCATGTTAAACTGAGCTGGGTTCCATCTTCAGCACCACACACACACACACAAAAGTCATTATTGTTGATACTGACCTCATCAGAACATCTTTAGATATTGGAAAACTTTCACATTCATAGAAAAAGATATAAATTATTACTTAATTCTAAATTTTCCCTTGAAAACTTGTATTTTATCAGTGGCAAAAAATATTGCTAGTTGTTTTCTCAAAGTAATGTGGTCACTTTGATCATTTTCAAGAAAACATCAGCCTAATTCCCAGGTCTGAGTAACTGTAGTTATTCAAAGGTAGAATTAATTAGCTTGCCCAGGATTACATAGCTAGTAAGTGGCAGAGGTGGGCCTGGTGACTGGATCTTTCTGAGTCTACTATATTGTATTGCCCCATATCTGAGTTATTTGGATCTTGCCAAAGCATGTTCTTTCTTACAATAGTATATTGTGGTGTTTTTTTTTTCTAGAGAGCATGAATGGTTTAAACAAGATTTGCCCAATTACTTATTTCCTGAAGACCCCTCTTATGATGCTAACGTTATTGATGATGAGGCTGTGAAAGAAGTATGTGAAAAATTTGAGTGTACAGAATCAGAAGTAATGAACAGTTTATATAGTGGTGACCCTCAAGACCAGCTTGCAGTGGCGTATCATCTTATCATTGACAATCGGAGAATAATGAACCAAGCCAGTGAGTTCTACCTCGCCTCTAGCCCTCCAACTGGTTCTTTTATGGATGATAGTGCCATGCATATTCCCCCAGGCCTGAAACCTCATCCAGAAAGAATGCCACCTCTTATAGCAGACAGTCCCAAAGCAAGATGTCCATTGGATGCGCTGAATACGACTAAGCCCAAGTCTTTAGCTGTGAAGAAAGCTAAGTGGCATCTTGGAATCAGAAGCCAGAGCAAACCATATGACATTATGGCTGAAGTTTACCGGGCTATGAAGCAGCTGGATTTTGAATGGAAGGTAGGAAATTGTGCATTAAGGTCATTTGTAGAAGCTGTGTTGCTGTATACCAAATGGTCTGAGCAGTTGAGTAGTAAGGTCCATATAAAGTTATTTTTGATTTAAATGTAAGTTTACTGTGCTTGATTCTTCTCAGTATTACAACATGTACATTCAAAGCAAAACAAATTTCTGTAAGAATGAAGAGCTGTTGATGTTGGAATTTAGGTATTTTGAATTATAGAATAGCATTTTTGGCTAACAAACAAAAAGTAATCAATTTGAAATTATCTGAAAAATAGCCCACCTGTTTTAGATGCTTCATAGCAACAAAAAGCCCTGAGTCTTCAAAGATAATGTTGTCACTTTTTTCTCTCTTGTTTTAGGAAGACTTGACTTTTTCTTATCTTTTTTTGTTTGTTTGTTTGTTTTAAGAGTGGTGGAGGTGAGTGGCAGTGACAGCTAACAGTCAGTGTTAATCATGCCATCAGGATACACTTATTCAGCAACAATTACTTTTCTTCTAGTTGAGAAACTCTCTTATTTGGTTCTTTTAATCCTTAGTTATGGCATATTTTTCTTACTATCACCCAGTTTTACTTTCTGTTAAAAATTAGAGTTTTATTTCATTTCAAATTTATTGGAATATATGTGAGGGGGGCCTGTAATCCCAGCAGCTCAGGAGGTTGAGGCAGGAGGATCAAAAGTTCAGAGGCAGCCTAAGCAACTCAGTGAGACCTTATCTATAAATAAATTTTAAAAAGGACTGGGGGTATGGTTAAGCACCTCAGGGTTTAATCCTTAGTACTGAGAAAAAAAAAGTACTTTTCATTTTAGATATTCCTTTCACTCTTGTTCTTTTCTTGAGAACTTTGCAACTTTTTTTTAAAGGAAGAAGAAAAGCATTCACATTTATGATGTAAATACTCATTTAACATGCTTGAATAAATCAGTTACTTTCATTTCATTATTGGTACATGAATAAATGAAATAATATTTCTTAAGACTAAACATAAACGTCCTTTTTCTGAAGCAGTTTATTTAGTTAAAAAAGATGCTAATGTCTTTAAAACTTCTTTTTTTTCTTTGGTATTAGGGATTGAACCAAGGCGTGTTTAACCACATTTTTAGTTAGAATGTTTAGGCACATTCCCAGCCCTTTTTAATTTTTTATTTAGAGACAGGCTCTCACTCAGTTGCTGAGGCTGGCTTTGAACTTGCCATCCTCCTGCCTAAACCTCCTAAGCTGCTGGAATTTTAGGCATGTGCCACCACACCCAGCATAAATGTCTTTAAAATTTCTTGTTGAAAAAATTTTGAAACTCATATGCTAGATATTTTTAAAACCCAGAATCTTCTGTATCTGAGCTACAGTTTTCTTATCTTTAAAAAGCAAACAGTATCTTCTTTGCAGCATTATTGTGATCCTGAATTTTGTGACAGAACCTAATGTAAGCCATTAACATGTTAGCTCCCCTTTATTCCTTTGGCTCCATATTCATCAGTAAAAGTATTGAAGCAGAGGCTGGGTAACCAAGATAATGATTGATGCTTCAGAATGGATGTGTAAGCTGAACTATATAATCTGAGTTTTCTTTAAGTTGTAATTGCTAAATGTAAATGCTGCTGTTAGTGTGAATTAAATAAATACTAAACTCCTATAATGTTAAAAAATATATTATTCAGTAACTTCTTTCTTACCCCACCCCATCAGTTATTTGTTTTTGACATTCTTTTCATTCTTGCCATTATTGTTATTTTGAATAAGAACTTTTTTTTGTTATTTTTACTGATTTCCTGTTTTAGGTAGTGAATGCATACCATCTTCGTGTAAGAAGAAAAAATCCAGTGACTGGCAATTATGTGAAAATGAGCTTACAGCTTTACCTGGTTGATAATAGGAGCTATCTTTTGGATTTTAAAAGCATTGATGGTAAGGAGACTATGTAGCCATGAGCTCAGAAATCAAACTTGGCACTAGTTGGCCAGGTGTTAAAAATCATCTCTAAGACATGGTGAGTAGTCATTTACTAGATTTTAAGTAATCTAGAGTCAACCGAAATCTGAGAGGAGATATATATTCATATATATTTAATATATATATATACCTATATTTATATTATTATTTATTTATTTTTTGTTAATGTGCTAGAAGAAAACATATTGCTAATGAAATATTTTCTTCATGGGTAGAGACATCAATTTCATTTCAGTGTTAATGCTGGGCACTCTTTTGAGAAGGATTTAGAGGCCATGTTTGAATGGTAAAGTGTTGTGATTAGTGATGTGTGTTTTGGTTGTGGGAGGAAAAAGGTATTACTTTCTCTGTTCCTAACACACCGAAATATGACATTCATTTCTTTTTCTTTTTTTTTTTTGTTTTCTTTTTCTTTTTTTTTTTTTTTTTTTTTTTTGATGCTTGGTGCTTTACCACTTAGCTATATCCTCAACCATTTTTATTTTTTATTTTGAGACGGTCTCACTAAGTTGCTGAGGCTGGCATCAAACTTGCCATCCTTTTGCCCTAGTCTCCTGAGTTGCTTCGATTATAGGCGTGTACCACCTTGCCTGACTTATAACATTCATTTCTAAGTTGCCCTTGTTCAGAGGGGTTTACTTACTATTCTGAATATAACAACTTTAGAGGAAGGACTCAGGCAAATAGACCTCTCATATCAATTGCTTTTCTTTGATCCGTTTCAGATGAGGTGGTGGAGCAGAGATCTGGTTCCTCAACACCTCAGCGTTCCTGTTCTGCTGCTGGCTTACACAGACCAAGATCCAGCTTTGATTCTACGACTGTAGAAAGCCATTCACTTTCTGGCTCTCTCACTGGCTCTTTGACCGGAAGCACATTGTCTTCAGTTTCCCCTCGCCTGGGCAGTCACACCATGGATTTTTTTGAAATGTGTGCCAGTCTGATCACTACTTTAGCCCGTTAATGATCTCCCTGATTTTTATCTTTCTGTTACTGCACTGTGAAAATCAGATACATTCTTTAAATTATTATCTTCTGGATATCACACTTTGCAATATTGATTGAAAAACATGAATATTTACAGGGGATTTGCAATGCCATAGAAATTACTGAAAACAAAGAAGTCTGACCTTTACTTTTAGAACTCTGTAATTCTAATGTACCTATGTTAAATTCACATAGGCAGTATTGTTAATGGGTGAATGTTGATGAAGATTGTTAATTTGTAGTTGTGAATTCACTTCATAAGATGAACACACCTCACTGATGAACTGTCTAATCTAAGAGTGGTTTGCAACAGCATCTGGCTTCACTAACATAGATAAATCCATTTTACTTCCTAAATTTCACAGCTTTGAGCTGTTTATGGTCTCAGTTTTCTTGCACAAAATTATTAAAAAATTAAACAGCCATTAGTAAGATATTAGCTGGGTGCAGTGGTGCACATCTATATTCCCAGCAGCTTGGGACACTGAGGCAGGAGGATCACAGGTTCAAAGCCAGCCCTTGTAATTTAGTAAGGCACTAAGCAAATTTGCAAGACCCTGTGTTAAAAAAGAGTAGGGTTATGCCTCAGTGGTTAAGTGCCCCTGGGTTCAATCCCAGTAACAAAAAAAACCCCAAATTATTTACAGGTTGGAATCTTAAAAGCCTGCTCTGAAAATTCCAGAAACCAAGTTCTTTGAACAGTTTTTGCAAACACTGCTTAATACTCACCAGAAGGTCTGTGGTCTCTAAAAGGTACTCATAATTTCTAGGTTCCTTAAAAACAGTTTTGACTATCTCAGGGCTTTATCTTTGAGATTTCCCTGAATGACAATGTTTATCTTAAGAGCCTTCAAGGTTCAGCTTAGCATTGGGATATCTGGACTTGAAATAATTAGTCTTTTCCATAAATTTATGTAATTTTAAAATATGTGCTCAAGGCCTACCTTTCTCAAATTCTTTTTATCTATTTATTTTTGCATTTAATCAAGAACGATAAAACAGTAGACAGTTAAATGAAGCAAAGCAGAATATCAGCAATCCCTTAAAAATGAATTCTGATCTTTTATTTTGTGTGTTTGGGGACAGGATTGGGTGAGTGGGAGTAAAAGGTTAGAGTCCTATTGCATCTCATGGTACTAAATCTTTACTTGGAGTTAAAGTTTGGTATTGATGGTACCACCTTCCTCCACCTTCCCCAATAACCATTATCTTTGTTCATTTTTTCATCTTAAGTGGCTGATTGATTCAGCTGAATCTTTTTTGGTTCCCTTTCTTGATTGCTAGCCATTCAGTTCAAAAACACTATTCTAGCCCTAAGGGCTTTTGTGTGCTTCCAAAGTTTAATAGGCTATGACCTTCACTGTTGAACCTGATGAGGCAGGGAAACCTTAAGTAGTCTTTCCTGAAAAAATATATGTGTTGTTTACATATATTACATATATGTATTCACATAACAGTTATTTTAATCGAAAAGCAGATTTTGTTTGTTTTGCTTTGCAAAATTTTTTTAAGATTAAAGGAAAAACTGTATATAGCAGGATAGATACTAGGACATTGATAATATTTTGTTTTAGTAAAGGTATTTAATTTTTTTATTTTTTATTCTAATTTGTTATATATGATAGCAGAATGCGTAATTTATCTAATTTTGTATTTATGCATTTATTGTATTTATGTTGTAATTAACAATCTCATTTTGCCTGACATGCCCTAAAAATATTGAGCTCTTGAAAACAAAAAAAAAATGACATTGCTTTGACAGGTTTCTCTTTGCCAAAATAATGTTTTCTATCAAGAAGCAAATGAGAATGCTATATCAAGTTTCTCAAGTATGTCTGTATCTTTAACCTTTTGAGTCATGAATTTCAGGGGCGTCACATCAAACTGTTTTGTAGATTTTTTTTAAAAAAATGGTGTTAAATAACTTGCAAGTCCAACTTCTTTATATGGAATCCTTGTTCACTGATTTGGGAAAGACCATAGGGTTGCAGTTTGAGATAGCTTAAGGTCTAAACCTTTAAAAGACTGCCATCTTGTGGCACCAAAGGGTAATTTTTTTTAATTAGTTGTGGGGATAAGTAGTCCTGCTATTTAAGTGTGATGTGCATTATCAGTATGGCATAATTTTGACTTCTCCCAATGTGCATGTGCCTTTGTTCCACTTCATAATATTTGCCTAATTAAACAACAATTTTATGAGCAAAGAAACGTAGGAAGGAATCTAGTGGCACTGTTGCTTCTTTAGTCTAATACAATCAGACATAAGACACTTTTTTCATATCAAAATTACCTTATATGGATGATGAGAATTTTCTTTGAGAGTTAAAATTTATTTACTGTTTTCTCATTCTTGCCAGTATTTATGAAAATCCACAAGGATAGTTGAATTTTAGGGGGAATCTGAGGATCATAGTGTTGGTTCTTTTCTGCAGTTTTAAAAACAAATATTCTGTGAATCTAGGTGTTATAATAAATTGATTTTCAGAGAGATTTCAGGACACTGAATGAAAGGGAGTAGAATGTTGTCATAGGCTTTCTGTTGGTCATGGGCACAGAGAAGAAAGAATCTGTTGCTAATCCTCAATTCCTGTCTCAGTCTTGTAAACTGGTTAACTGTAGATGTGGTATGTGGGCCTGAGCTAAGAGCAGTTTCCTCTGGTTAAGATCCTGGGGAGAACTTCTATTTTTAGATTATAGGAAGGCCTGGGCTGTGCCATGGAAATGGACTCCATGTGGTTTTAGAACATTTCCCAAAGAATAAGAGATTCTGTGGGGTAAGTTTGGAGAATACTGCATGCACCTCCCTCCATTAGGATGACAATGGGATATGAGCATTGAAGTCTTTTTCTTCTATGAAAAAAGGAAAAAATATAATATAGTTTGGTTTAACCCTGCTTTGCCCAAATTAACTTGCTGCTTTAAAAATTTATTCCATAAGGAAAGGAAAATTTGGAAAATACTTTTTCAGGAAAATTATTGTCCCAGGTTGCCATAATCAGGATAGTTAAGAATGAAATTGATAGCACTTCTTTTCCCCTTACCAGTTATCCAGGAGAACCTCATTCAAATTGGAAATCATTTTTTTTTTAAACTTGCAGACATGTTCGTCTTGAGTGAATTGTGGACTAAGAATTTTTATGTCTACAACTTGTTTTGAAGCATGTTGATTTTCTTAATTAGATTTTGTAATAATAGATGACTGAAAAACCTTAAATAAGATTACTCATGTAAAAGACTTAAGGCCACTGATTCATGTTTTTGACTCTGTGGGCAATGAGTCGGTATCATTAATTCTTTCAAATGTTTAGTCAGTGAATATTTTCTGAATACTTTTATTTAGGATGCTTGTTTTTAAAGCTAATTCCTATTGTCTTCAGTGTAAAAAACAGTTACTGTCTCAAATTGAATATTTGTGGAGGGAGGGAGGCAAAACATTTACACGTTGGGTGTTTGTTTTGATCTTTTAAGAGACACTTTGTAGTCTCTAGTGTTTGCATTCTTTGGAACTAGTCATCTATAAAGAGACTAGTATCGAAATTAATCAGAAATAATAGTTTTTAGCTATTTATAGTACAGACAATTCTCCATTTTCTGCAAATAGGTTTTCAAGAATGGTTACATAATTCTGGTTTTGCTTTCTCTTATTCCCTAGCCAATTTGTACTCAGGGAATACCCATTTTTAGAATTAAATGAGACATAATTTAGAAAGTAATCATAACCATTACAAATTTTTGGACTACTTTATCTGTTGCATCTGCTAATGTGCAGTATACTGAGTTAATGTAAGCACCACGCCTATTTATACGATGTAGAAGCCTAGAAGATGCCTACCACAGACACTATATTTTTGTCCATTCACTGGTTAATAATTTAAATCCCATTAATATCTATGAAATCCCAGTATTTAAATGCTAGACACATTCACAGTTTTGTCTTTTTTTTTTGTTTTTGTTTTTAAAGATACCATTTCAGGCATCTGACATTTTTGCCTGGTCCTCCTTTCATCCAGTGACTTTAAAATAAAAAAGGAATGTTATTTAATAGCAGTTCTCAGAGACTGTTAAAAACTCTGCATGAGGGATATGTGCAATCTATTGGTAAGTTGCATCCTGCATTGGACTTCATTTTTATGACCCCCAAATGGGAGGGATAGAGGAAAGACCTTTAGGGTATTTTGGAGCTTTAAAAGTCTGCTTTTTCTACTTTTCGTATGATTTGCATTGGTGTTCACTTTTTTTATATATTTAGAGTTTTATACTAGTTTGAAAGTTCAATTTTGGTTTGGTGAGGCATTTTGATGGTATATACTTGAATATTTTTCTAAATACAGCTGCCCTCTCATATACAAATAGTATATTACTATTTTTACAAATAGTAAAAATCATTCAGAAAACCAGACAGGTTAAATATCATGTCTACTTGGCATAAAGCAAAAGATTACTAATTCGTAGTGATGGAAGTATTTCATACATTTCTATAGTAGGTTTTAGATCAAGGGACCCTCCCTGTTTGTTAACTATTACAGTAATTTTGTGAAGTAACCAGAAAAAGTGTATTATGTTACCACTCTCCAGATAAGGAAACAGGGCTAGAGAGCTCTTAATAAGCCTTTAAGGCTATACGAGTATTCAGTGGTGATCAGACTATACCATTTTTCCTCTGGGCAGAACAGTTGAATTAATGAAACATCTGAGTAGTCAAAGAATAAAAATAAACACAAATGTATTGCTTTCCATTCTTAGACTGACATAAAGTAGGATTAACTAAATGTTTCCTAATTGTATTGATTATACCAACTAGGTATAATTTTTTGAACTATTTATGATTAGCATATCGATTTTTATAGGAACTTCTAAGTTGAGGGTGCTTAAAAAGTTACTGAAGAAACTTTGTGACATATTCTTCATATAATTTTATTTATGTGATTCTGATAGCACAATCTCTGAAAAGAAAAAAAGAGAAACAAAAACTAGCCTTAGTCCATTTCTAATTTATCATCAGTTTTGACTATTTCCTGAATTAGCCTTCTCTAAATTTCACATAGAGGATAGTAATTTTTCATGTTGTATGCATATTAGATGATATTCATGAACAGAAATTACCTAATTGTAATTGGCTTGATATTCTCCCAAACCTTTTAAAACTTTGAACTTGAGTTTGATGAGCTTTAAAATGTATGTAAACCTAACTAGACAAGTTGCTGGCATCCTTACTAGTCTTTCCCACATGTATGTGTGATGCATTTGATGCCACTGAATAGTAACAGAACAAAGACCAGGACCCACAGTCTAGACTGGAGTAAGTTTTAATTAAACTTCTTCAGCCATAACCTGGTAAGAATCAGATTAGGTCTAGAAGTTATTAGACTGTAGTGCTGTATTAATTTTGCAAGCCAATGTTAATGTTTACTGCCAGCCTTGCACAGCAATGCCAGTCTGCAGCCTTGATTGTGTATGGAACTTTTGGTAACTATAGTTTATATCTAAAACAGTTTAGATTTTATGAAAGTTATTCACGATTATTTGAACAAGCAGGGTAGGTAAATTTGAATTATGTTTAAAGTGCAATTAAGGAAATCCTAGAATAGAGCACTCCTTCCAGGAAAAAAGTATTAAGAATTTGGAATATCCTGGCATGAAAAATTTTTGAACTTGTACATAGAGTTTTGACAAGCTTTATACAGTGTTTTCCTTTTTAATTCAAGGTTTGCTACTTTGAGTTAATTTAAAATTTCAAGGAGGAACAAAAATATTCTAGGCAAGAATTGCATGGTTAATTTTTTTCTGCTAATCTAATTTTCACAGTTAAAATTCCCTTTTAAGTATGTTTTGTTACCCAAAAAAGGCCACTTTTCTAAATAGATGACGTTTTCCTAAAATGGGAAAGAGAAACATCCTGTTATAAAAACAAACACTAAATTGTGCCTTCTCTCTCATGTTACAGAAACAGTAATAGTAAAGTTGTTTGAACTGTAATTTCTTTTTCTCTGATCCCTCTCATTTCCGTTTAGATCTAGCCTCCACAGACAATCTTACTTAGTTCTGCCTGTCTGTTTTCAAGTTTGTTTGGCCAAACCTCACACTATCAGAAGTTGTTCACTAACTGTATTTTCTGTTTCTTTTTTTATGTTGTTTCACTTTTTAAAGTCACTTTAGTAAATATTTGGCTGCCTTCTCATGTTTTTTAAAATGAATGCAAAGTTAAGTAGTCTTTGTATTTTGCAAGTTTGTATAGGGAAGAAAGAATACAGAGCTAAGGACAAAATCTAATTGGAATCTGATTCTCCTTTTGGCTGCTATAGCAGCACAAGTTGCATGACCTCACTTACTCTTCTCTTGTACAAAATATGGATGATAACCTACCTCACATGTGTGAGATGTGTGTGAGAAATCGTTTCAAGGTCCTTGTTTAAATGCAAGGTTTATGTCCCCGTATTTAATATAAATCCCTTCTTTTTATAGATACCTTTGATACTGATGAGTATCCTGATTTTTAGGTAAGTTTTTGTGGTAAGAACATAGTGCTAAGAATGTTTCAGACCACAGTTTCACAAATTATGGTGTTCTTATTTTGAGACATTTAAAGTTTCTTGGAAACATCAGATATTTAAATATCAAACTTGTTTATTGTTTCAACAAATAATATTCGGAACTTCTTAATGTCAGCTGAAGCTGCCTTAATGTATCAAAATACAGCATTCTGTTAAGACTGTTCTCAAACATCTATGTTGTACAATGTTTTGAGTATTTAATGTGAAGTTATTACAGAACTGTAAACTCAAAGGATAGTACCTTGATACTATTAAGAAGAATGGTTGTGTTCTTTATCATGTATGCTAAAATGTTATATAGTGAATTTTGAGTACAGCAAATAAAACCGAAAGTTGATAGCTTTTAGGTTATTTATGTCCATGACAATCATAATATTATGTACAATTGGATAGTAATTGTTCCTTTTTTTTTTTTTTTAAGAACATCATGTGTTCTTTCTTTCTCAGCCCATCTTAGGAAACTAAATCCGTAGGCTGATACCTTAACCCACTGAAGCACTGGACTACATCTCTATTCAAAAAAAATTTAAACTATTGAAATTGGGACCACTGGTTTCAGAGGGAAAACCAATACTAGATTTCCAGTGCTTATGTATTTTAGTAATGGCATATTCAAATTTCAGTTTTGTTTGCTAAATATTATTTTTTTGTGAGAGTTATATGATCTGTGAGAAGGATTTGTTTTCCAGTAACCATGTGAAAAGATGTCTTGAATTACACTGCATTTCATAGATACAGGTTCTCTTGGTAGAACCAACTCATAGGCAACAAACACAAGGAAAAGCAGCCTAATTGCTTATAAGCTTTTTCCACAAAATCAAATTAAAGTCACGGTTAATTTGAAAATTGTTTTTGTTTCTGTTCCGTCATTAAGCTAATATTCTGCATTTCAGCTAATACTGAATAAGCTATTTTAGAGAAAGATTGTTTATGACTCATCAGATTTCACACCATCTTTGTTTATTTTGTCTTTGTGTACACTTTTTTTTTTTTTTTAACCGCAGCTATTTGGATAGTTTTCTATTTCTGCTGTAAAAAGTTACTACAAATTTAAGGATTTAACATAGATTTATTATCTTAGAATTCCATAGTCCAGTGGACTTAACTGGTTTTTTCTAAAGGACTTAACACAAATAGCTTAACTACTTAAATAACACAAATTTATTTTCTTACAGAGAAATCTAGTGGGCTTAGCTAGGTTTTGCACAGGCTGAAAACCAAAATAATAATAAGGGCTGGGCTGTGGGAGAGAATCTGCTTCTAGGTTCATCCAGGTTGTTAGCAGAATTTAATTCCATGTTGCTCTAGGACTGAGGTCTCTGCTCCCTTTCTGGCAATTGACTAGGTGTCATTCACAGCTTCTAGAGGCCACTGGCATTCCCTGGTCAATGGATGGCTCCCTTTATCTTTAATGGCAGCGATGGGATTCATGCTTGGGATTTCATCTTCTTCTCATACCACTTTTCTGACTGGCTGACAGATTCTTCTGTCTTCTACTTCCAGTTTAAGGTCCCATGTGATGAAATTGGGTCTACTTGGATAATGTAAATATCTTTTTATTTTAAGGACCACTGGTTAGCAAGTTTAATTCTGTTACAAACCCCCTTTTACAAAGTCACATCAAGTATTTACATACATAACACAAGAGGGTAAAGATTACAGAGGCCAAAATTCTGCTCAGCATAGCCATAGAATAGGGAGAAAAGACCTTCAAACTAGTAATAGAATTTTATAGAAAATCCTTCTGAGAATAGAAAGTAAACAATCTAAATGTGACTTTATATGTACTGTTGTCACATTTCATATTATTGTTATGTAAGAGCAACTTTTTGAAAAACACTACTATAGACCTCACTAAAAAAAAATGTAAACATCAAAGTCTGGATAAATAAAGATTTTAGTTTTCCTACATTTTAAAGAAAAAATGTATTTTTTTAAAGTAAAGATTTTTTTCCCTTTATTTCCTAAATTGCAAGGGTAAGGGATGCTTATTGTTGGAAATTTGAAGAGTATAGGAAGTTTAAAGAAACATCCAGAGGTTTATACTCGTTTTTTTCCTCTCCCTATTTATCTTCCTGCATACACACACACACACACACACACACACACACACGTATAATATATCCATCCCCAAAGACATTCTGAATATGTGCAGGAAAGGGCCTAGTTAACAAGGACGCTATTCTCATCTTGGAAGACCAGGGTTTTCATGGAGGTGCTAAGGAAAGATTTTGCTGGCATATATTAAGGTTGCTAGAGGTCCAGCCTACATGTTTGGATCTTGAATGATTCCCAAAGGCTTGGTTGGTCCCCAGTCAACGGTGCTATTGGGAGGCTTTAGAACCTTTAGTAGGTGGGGCCTCATGAAAGGAAGTTAGGTCATAGGGGTATGCCCTTGAAGGGGGTATTGGGACCCTAATCCTTTTCCTCCCTTCTAACCTATTTGCTTCCTGGCTCCCGTGAGGTGGGTAGCTGCTGTTTCTGCTTTGTGTGAGGTGGGTAGCTGCTGCTTCTGCTTTGTGCTCCGATAGTGGACTGTATCACCACAGGCCCAAGAATAGTGTGGCCAAGCGACCATGGATATTGAAACCTCTAATCCATGAGCTAAGGTAAACTTTTTTTTTTTTTTAAGTTGATTATTTAAGGTATATGTCACAATTATGGATGGGAAGCTGACTGACAATTTTTAAATGGGCCAGTGTTAGCCTCTGTTAGGGTTAAGAATTTGTGTGTGATATCTTACCTGACAGGATGGTGTTATCTTTACTATCTTTTAATAAAAAATTAAAATATAAACTCAGTCTTTTCGTTGAAGCTTTATGCTAGTTTCTAGGAGACTGATAACATTGGCTTGGTGTTAATTATGGTGTTTAGGTTTGAAAACTTGGTAGATCAATAATATGAGAAAATTAGTTTGATTTAGAGAAGGAAAGGAATGTGGCTGTTTGTGAAATATAAACATAACCACATTAAGTATTGATAGAAAACAAGCAATTATTCTAAAAACCTATATACTATATCATAATAATTAGGCAATAAAATTTATATTAGACCAAGTGGTTTCTACTATAAAAAACATTTAATGTTTTTAAAACTGAATATTTATTATGGCTATGTAAAAGAAATTCTCAAACCCAATCCATTCTTTCAAGTCTCTTAAGAATTGAATTTTAAAAATGTGGTGTTTGTTTTCAGCATCTTTCAAATTCAGAAAAAGCCAGGTATGATAACACTAATAGAGTATTGTTTATTTACCTAATTGCTACTTAAATTATCCTGTAATAATTTAACTTCTACTTAAATTATGTTGTAGCATAACAGTGCTGTAAAGTAGATGAGTAGTTTTAGCTCCATTTTACTAGTGTGGAAATTGAGACCCAAAGGAGCTGAACTACTGAATTAGAAGAAACCCTGTGGTGAGATAAAAATGCAAGGGCCATCTTTATCTCAGTTCAGGTTTCATCCCACTGCCACTCCAGGATTTAAATACTTCATTGTTTGGTGAAGTGGCTTCTCTTTGAGCAGGAGTACTGCATGAAAGATTTCTGCTCAGCATAGCCACGTTTCCTCACACTCACTTCTTGCTCACAGACCACACTCATCCTCTTCTTCAGTGTCATCTGCAACAGGTCTTGGCTTAGAAGTTAGGAGAGGCCATAATTGTTCATTACTGGGTAGTAAGTTTAATTCGGAAGTCTTTAGTCTCTAGTCCAAGCAGAAATAAATTACCATTCTTTTGTACCAACCTTAGTCTAATCTCCTGAAAAAGAAGTCTTGGAGCTGTTCCCTAACTCTCCTTCTCACTCATCTTCTCACTCACCAAGATGTGATGTCTCCTTTACCTCTGATGGGGCTCCTGAACTATGTGCCTCAATCTTGCTATCCTCATTTAAGGCTTGATGACCTTTTCCTTAGAATATTGCAAAAATAATCTTTTCTGTCTGTTGTCATCTATGTAATTGCCTCCTGTTATGGTTTGGAAATGAGGTGTGTTCCCCCCAAAAAAACTTAGGTGTGAGACAATGCAAGAAAGTAGAGGAAACGATTGGTTTTTTTGAGAGCCTTCATCTAATCAATATATTAATCTACTTGAATGGATTAATTGGTAACTTTAGGCCTGTAGGTAGGGTGTGGCTAGAGGTGGAGGGTCACTGGGTCCCTGCCTTTGGGGCATGTGTTTTGTCTGTGGTGAGAGGCACACCCCCTCTCTGCTTCCTGATTGCTCAGTCCTTAGCTGCTTTTGTTCTTCATACCCCTTCCACCAAGGTGTTCTGCATCACCTCAGGCCTAGAGCTGTGGAGTTCACTGTCTTGTGGACCTAGACCTGAAATCTTGATCATCAAATAAACTTTTCTTATCTAAAATTGTTCTTGTCAGGTCTTTAGGTCACCAGGTAAAAAAGCTAAAACCCCTCCCTTTCCCCAAACATCTGGCATTTTCTTCCTGCTTAACCCTTGAGTGGCACACCACTCTCTAGAGCAAAAAGCTTGAGCATGCTGGAGCATGCTGTGTCACATTCTAGCCCAAACACCCCATTTCCCAGCCGTCTTCCTACTCCATTTGCCTCAGATTTCTTCATAGTCACCAGACAGAGCATGGGATTTATTTCAAGAACAAACTACAGTGTCACCTTTTTTGTAACATCTTTTTTAACCCTGTAGCCATGTCATTTATAATATTATTTTAATTATGCTATTCTCTAAATTCTTAACTATACAAATACCTTTGATTGCTGTCTTTTAGAATAAACTTGGCCTTAATTAGAGCATGCAAAAAATATAAGAATAGTAGTTTCAATGTATGAAGGAAGAGGCCATGGAACAGATGTATCCTTGAAGGCCAGAATTGCCCTGCTTAAAGAACTGAGGGAAATTTCTCCAGTGTTTCAGTGCACATAAAGCCACTTGTATAAATTCTACATATGCATTCAACTGTCTTAAAATCTGACATTCAGTGCACATCATTTAAAAAAAATAAAATCTGTTTATACCTCTGCTTTTCAATTTCCATTTCATTTAAGTGAAAAATACTTGAATTCTATTTGAATGAATTTTGGGGTATAGACAAAATTTTTCTTATTTTAGGCAACAGAATGTTTTAAAGTAAGAGAGCATCTATTTTTTAGATTTTGTTAAATATATTTAGATACTTCTTTAAGTGATACTAGTTGAACTTAAGAAAAATTATTTTTCCGCATCCTATTCCCAAAGGAACCAGGAATAGCATCGATCAGATTGTTTTTGAGATAAAGTAAAAGGACATTTATACCTTGATTTTTTAAAAAAGATTAAGTCAGAATTATTTATTATATCTTAAATTTGAGGATTTTGAGGACCTTCATTATCAGAGTTATTGTACCAAATTTAAACTAATATCTAGAAATTACACATGCTTACATTACTAATATTAGAAGCAAACCAGCCATCTGCACAACTGAATAGTCTTGATTTCTAACTTTGGACATGGCTCATTAAGCAAGTGCTCACATAACAGTTTCACATTTTTTAAAACCAGCAGTGAAATAGATATTGAAAGAGAAAACTCTTAAGAGTCAAACTAACAACTAAATGTTGAGGATTTCTTGTTTTTTTTCTTCCAAGTGCCCAACAAAAGTTCCACAGATTCCATCTGATTTCGACATGTAAACAAACTGCTGTGAGGCAGGACTAAGCTGCTAGGACCCCTTCTCAGTTGTGCAGTCTTTCCCTTCTGATCTTGACCTTTCTATCTGGACCAACCTTGACTCCTGGGGAAAAAAGAAACATACATTTTGAAGTAGAGGCTAATGGAACAGTGAGGAGGAGATTTCTGGGAATTTTCTTACCCAGTTTCATAATTTCATGTTGCTTTAAAATGTTTATAAATATACAGTGTTCAATTTGATAATAGACTCAGGAGACAGTAATAAAGTCTCTCCTAATGTCTCCTTACAGGACAGAGAACATGCTGTATATTTAATTTTCAGAACTTTTCCTGAATTTCAGTAAATTCAGCAGTCTTTCCTTGAGACTAATGCACACAACACCATGTTATTTATAACTTACAATTTGAAGTATAAAATTAAACTACTTACTTGAAATCTAGATGTTCAATGAGTACATATCCATCTATAGGGGAAAAATCATTGTTATTAATCTGAAGCTTATAGAGAAAATGTTTTTTTTTTTTTTTTTGGAATAGTGATTGAAATTTTATGGGCAACAAGCCAAAAAACTTACATTTCCCTTTAGAATTGCGACATATCACTAGATTTTGTTCAGTGGTGTCAATGACTTCCAGTTCTTCTCCAGGTGTTATTGGCAAATCAAATATTCCATTTCTTGAATTACTGGAACATACCACTGCTCTATTGATGACGATAATTTCTTTGTCATACTGAAATGAAAAAAATCACTAATCAGACCATGCTTACACAGCCATCATCCTTTTTCACAATAACCCAATTAATTTTGAGGTAACTTTATCATATCCTCCATTAAGACTCTAGATATTAAAAAAATCCCTGAAGGAAAGAAAATAACAGGAAGGTAGTGGTGAAAGGGAAAGTCATTTTAAGAAAACCATAGCAAGATGCTGGTATGACATTTTGTATGATTTTATTTTTTTAAAGAGAGAGAGAGAGAGAGAGAGAGAGAGAGAGAGAGAGAGAATATCTTTTTTTGTGGATGGACACAACACAATGCCTTTATTTTTATTTTTTTATGTTGTGCTGAGAATCAAACCCGGATCCCGCCCGTGCTAGGCGAGCGCTCTACAGCTGACCCACAGTCCCAGACCAATGATTTTATTTTTAAAATATTCTTGCACCCATTAATATTCTTGCACCCATTGTCTAATTTTACTAGAGTGGAATGCTGGAAGAACAGAAAGCTAAAACTTGAGTATAGGTTTAAAAATCAGGGAAGGCATGCTGTTAGGTAACAAAGTTACTGTCAAACCCAGGAAAGGAGAACGTTTTTTTAAAAAACACCCAAATCCTCTGTGTAGCCCCTTAGACTTTATACTACATACCGATCATTTCTAGATGGCACTCTTACATCTCCACGTACAAATACTTATTAATGTGATTCAGTGCCTTCTTCCACTCTTAGAAGTATTCTGAATTTGGATTATAAATCATAAGAAGACCCTATACCAAGAGATATAAGCTATAAGATATTTCCTTTTGCTAACAACGTAATAGCATCTAAATAACTGGTCTTGCTCTCTTGGGTCTACTGTTTACTGTGAGTCCACAGTGATTTCTTAGAATACAAGTCTGATTAGGCCACTTTTCCATTTATAAAGCTCTGAAAACTCTTCATTACCCTTAGGATATGAACCACATTTCTGAGCTTGACATTCAGGGATCTTTGCATGCTATCATTCTCCATTGCTCCATCTCCCCTTTATTGAACCCTCATGGAACTATATGATAATCCTTGAATACCCTATATACTTTCATATTTCCATTATTTTTCTTGTGCTGTTTTTTTTTCTGCTTAGAATATTCATTTGTCTCTTGACCACCTCACCTTTTATGACAGCTATATATAATTTGTTTACTATGTATATACTCCTATTATAACGTTTAGCAAACTATTTTAAAAAATGAAAATAAAGGACAGTCTTATTTATCTTTATACCCTCAATACCTGACAGCAATGTAATACCTAATATTTTATAATGTGAGCTGGATAAAAATTATTGAAATAGCATAGTCTTTCTAATGGCAACTACAAAAACTCATCACAGAAAAAGATGAATCCTACATATTATAGGAAATGAAATTTCTGTCCCATGTAAGACAGTCAAAAATATGAGGGGAAAAAAGCCCTAGATAGGATTTAGGAGTCTTTTCAACAAGTAATTGCTACATTATTGTTTTCCACCTAATAAAACACCACCACAATTTGCAGTAGATAATTTCAGATCACGATTTCTAGATGTAGTAACCATAGTCAGCTTTGGTCTAAGTGGAAGTTATAAGTGATTGAGAGATTTATGTATATTCCTTTTTTAGTTTGGTTCAAAAACAGTTTTGGATATTTATAAAGTGTTAGGTAGTCATTTGATTGTTAGAATTCTTTGATTTTTAGAATGATGGAATAATGTTCCATGGATTCTTAGTGACAGAATAAGATGTCAAACATATTCCTTTCTCCTTCTTTCCCTCCCTCCCTTCAGTTATCATTTATTTATTTGTATAGTCATTCACTCACTAGCACCAGGAGTTTAGTTTTTTGTTGGAGGCTGGGAACAAACTTGATAAATTAGAATCCCCTTCCAGAGGGACTTGGGAGATTAGTTCAGGACAGGCCCTGGTTGTAAACAACTGATAGATAGTAGAGATAGAAAATGTGCCAAGGAGTGACTTGACTTGGAGGAACTAGGAAGAGTGAATGACATTTGAACAGTGCCAAAAAGAACAACTCTTAGGAGTTTTTCCAGGCAAAGGGACTAGCATGTACAAAGGCACGTCAATATAGAAATACATTAGGAAAAATAAAAATAAAGTATTGGTGAAGCAAATTTTTAGGGTCTTTAAAAGTGCACATTTGTAGCTTAGCGTCATCATATGCACCTGTAATCCCAGCTGCTCTGGAGGCTGAGGCAGGAGTATTACAAGTTCAAAGTCAGGCTCAGCAACTTAGTGAGGCTCTAAGCAAATTAACGAGACCCTGTCTCGAAATTAAATAAATAAATAAAAAGGGCTGGGGATGTGGCTTAATGGTTGAGTGCTCCTGGGTTCAATATCTCTGGTACCAAGCAACAAAAAGAAGTTAATCGTTGCTAATTTTTACCTTCAGAGGAAAACATACCTGAAATCTTTCTCTAAAATGTTTTTCTTCTTTTCCAATTCTGTTTTTTTCTAAGTTTTGCATCTTGGTTCTGAAGAACTTTCTAGGAGAAAAACTGGCAAGAAACATGCAAGTAGTCTATAAAGTCATTCTATTTCAGGACAAATTCAGGCATAACTAACTGTATAATTTCATATGAAGTCATATATGTTTATATATTTATTCACAAAACCTCCACTAGAGCAGATTGTTAAAACAACTGAAAAAGGTAATTAAGACTAATTACTTTTCCCCACCATTGAAAAGAAAATTCTATACATTTGTGTGTGTGTGTGTGTGTGTGTTGGTGTTGGAAATAAAATCCAGGGCCTCGTGCATGCTAGGAAAGCACTCTACACTGAGTTATACCTCTAGTTCCATAAATTTTGTTTTCTTTTTTGTGGTACTGGGGATTGAATCCAGGGCCTTGCATATACTTACTGCCCACTCTACCACTGAGCTACATCTCCAAAGCTAAAAAATATTTTTGATCACAAAATAATATGGAATAAAATCAAGTTGGTAGAGGATGGTTAATGGGTATAGGAGTGGCATTGGATAGGAGAAATAACTTCCAATGTTCTGTAGCATAGTATGGATGGTGACAATTAAGCATATATTTCACAACAGCTAGTAGAGGATTTTTAATGTTACCAACACAAATAACAAATGTTTAAGGTGATGGATGTGCCACTTATGCATTTTACACATATACTGAAATGTCATACTATGCACCATAAATATAATTATTGTGTCAAAAATAAAAATAAAAAAATGAGTTTGATCAGACAAGGTAAACAAGGAACTTCTCTGAATTAGACTTGAAAGCATAATTAAGTATTTTTTTAAGAGAAACAAATTTATCAACTTTCCCACTCAACTTCAGATTATTTAATAGAAACCAGAAACAGTGAGTAAAGGTCTTACAGGTTATGGTTTCAACTTTTCAAACATAATTGTGGAACCACAAATCTACATGGCTCAAAGAACTATCCTATTTGCTGAATGGGGAGATGGATAGAATTAATAAAGCAAAATTCTTATCAACTGTTCAAGAATTAGAGCATATAAATGTGGTATATAACCACATAAATGTGGCTCATATAGCGGAAGCTGGTCATGACTCCTCCCTTGCTCTCCCTTTTGCTTTGCACATGGGTTTGGTTTTGCTTCAGGGACTTTAATGTATCGACAAAATGAAAGTCACTCAGGTCCTGTCAGTTTTATTCTGAAGTATCTCTTATATCTGTTTCTTTCCAAGATTATAGTCACTGCCATGTTTCTGACTATTAGTACTTCTGGCCTGAAATAGCATTTTCTTACCCTTCTTTTAAAAAGTCCATCTGCATCCCTGCTTCCATGGCCATCTTTCAGTAATTTAATTAACCATTCCACTTGCTTTTCCTTAAAACCTTTCAATGTCTCTCTGCTGCCCAGAAGAAAAGTCCAGATCTGCTTCAATCTACCTTCCCAGCTTTGTGAGCTGCCCTTTACCCTACATATGCATTGTCTACTTGGGTCATCTTAGAAAGTGGACTGCATTTTCCATATTTTACATCTGGATACCCTTGCCAATTTCTCTTAGAATTTGCTGTCATTTTTTGATTAATCAAAGCATGATAAAAGGGCTGAAGTCATAGAGAAAGCTTTTTTTAAAATTTATTGGTAAAGTAAGTTGTGGTTGAGACCATTTTAAAAGGATCAAAGAACACACAGAAATTGGCACCTCTATAGGATTAATGACAGCCTATCACATTTTCAAGTTTATTCAGTTGAGAGTAAAAACACTATTATGTTAGTTATAAAATATTTAAAAAACTAGGAAATTATTTCCTTAGAACTTATTTGTAATTATCAACATAGTCAAAAATTATGCTGATATACCCCTTCTTGGAATTTTGTTGTGCTATGCTCTACAAACATTTTATAAGTATGAACTTTAAGGGAAAAGGTCTCTTTTTTAGTCTATGAATACATCTTTCCAACTGGGGACAAATAAATTACATCAAATCTAAGCCCAAAGAAAATAAACTTAAGGGCCATCCTTTGCTATTCATTGAACTTAGATTTGGTTCAGACCAATGTGTGACTTCTTTGGGGTGCCCCAGTGAGACTTTCCAGACAGGTTTCCCAGAGCAGACATACCATACAGTGTTCATAGCTCTCTGACTATTTACCAAGGATGTCTCCAAGAAATTTGTTAAAGTCCCTTAGAGCCTACTCCAGGTTCTTAACTGGGAAGGGAGCCAGAGCACTAGCACAGTTTAACTGGAGTCGGGTAAAACCCTGCCTCTCCCAGTGGGCAACAGAGAATTTGCATCACCTGAAAGAAGTTGGATCTTGAATTGATAAGATGTTCTTTTACAATTTTTAAAATAAAATTGTAGAATTGTATTTTAGGAAAATCAGGCTTACTGTGTAATATCTAGTTTCTGATTTTCTCCGAGTTTCACAACAGATAACTGGTGTATTCTGTTAAGTTATGCCTTATGGGGAGAAAGTTCATACAGCTTAAAAGGAGACTGGAAATTTTTCATTCTTTGATAAGGGCTAACTTGAAATCTTTCTTCACACCAAAAATAAGGGAGGATAAATGTGTATGGTACATGACTTTTAAAAATCTTTTTATTTTAATCCTTTCAGTTCTACTATGATGAGGAATCTTTGAATCCAATTTAATGACTTGCCTAAGGTCACCCAGCCCATTAAAAGGTATAAACTGCAGCAGAGAAGCTGTAACGCAAGTGCACTTGTGTTCATACCTTTCTGATGCATCAGCACCTTTCTTTTCTTTTTTCTCCTTTGATACCAAAAACTTGGGCTTCCAAGTTTTTATTTTATCTTCATCTCTGAGGAGAAAAATATTTGAACAAGTAAATGAAAACTTAAATATTAAACATTTATGGAATTATCAGTACTTTCTGGGCAATTGTTTTATTAAAGAAAAATAAGTCATTTAGAAATACATTTTGATAGCCTAGGCAAAGCCAGGTAGTATATAGTTCAGGCTTTGCAAACCATCATCTCCATGGCAACTATTCAACTGTTGCAGTTTTATTTTCAAAAAACTAGTGGCAGGCCACACTTGGCTCACAGGCCATCATTTGCTGACCCCCGTGTTTTATAGTGATCCAGATTTGAAACCGGAAGCAAGAGATCAACCTGCTTATAATCACATCTCTTGAGCCTGTTTCTTTGCTTTTAAAATGTGAATAATATTAAACTTGGCCATGACATAAGTCTAAACCAACCAGTGTTTAGCATTTGGGGTCAGGGCAGAAGAGGATGCCAGAAAAGAAAGGGTATTAGAAGGATTTCTATTTGAGCACTTCTGTGTGAGGTGGTCTTCTGGGCATTTTATATGTTAACTCATTTGTTTTTTCGTAGTAGGTTCTGCATGAGTCCTTTAGTCATTCATAAAGTTTACAAAGAAGAAAATGATCAGAGAATTAAGGTAACTTATCTTGGTCATAGAAATAAGCATAATCTAACCTCTTAAAGACATTCATTTTTTTCTCAGTGTTTTTCCACTTTTAAAAACAGAATTGAGAGTATACTATGTGCATACAGTTTTGCATTGTTTCTAATTGTCATTATAGTATGTTTTTCCATGTCACTGGAAACTCTTCACCATACATTTAGCATATTAAGTAGCCATGTTGAATATTTTAATACATTCAGCAGATTACTGTATATTACTGTATATTTGGGCATTAAGCTTGTTTAAAACATCATCTTTTTATAAATTGCACTGAAATCGATTTTTTTCAAGCATGATTTCTCTCTCTCTCTCTCTCTCTCTCTCTCACACACACACACACACACACACACACTTATTACAAGCAGGTAAAGAAGAAAAATAACGATAACATGGAAACCAAGGAAAAGTTAGTATTTCCCCCCCTTTTGTGGATGGCATAATCAACAGTTTAAGAGTATTGAGAAGCCAAGTAAGATAATGATTTAAAAGTATTCCTGGGATTTAACAAAGGAGTTACTAGTGATCTTATAAAATGTAAGTTCACTGGTATGATAGAGGCAGAAGTTTTTAATTTCAGTGAGCAGGGAAAGATGAATTGAAGAAAATCAGAGGAGACCTCCATTTCCAGCCATTTGGTTGAAGGAAAAGTCAGGTAACAAGTTAGCTAGAGAGGGGACACCAAGTTAGGATGGTTTCTTTCCCTTCTTTCTTTATAGATTACAGTTATTTAATTCTTGTCAAATTTTCTTTGCTATTCTGCATGCTACCATCTACATAGGTTATTAAATAAATGTGGCTAAGCCTCCAGATTCAAAGATAAGAAATAAAAACAAATTCCAGAGCTCCTCTGCCTCTTGGGTCACTACCACTGTTGGATTACCTGCTTTTCATCATTTTTCTTTAGTTGTGCAGGGACTATTATTCTTTCTCTGGTCCCCATGGATCTGGAGAGGTGGTTCTCTGAACGTATTTAAGAAAGCATCAGGAAATGGGTCAGGTGGCAGCAGGGATGACCAGTGTGGTAAATTGACTTACTTTGACTCTTTTTCACTTATGTCCACATCATCATAGATAATAACTTCCTGAGACCTAAGTTCTAAAGGGTCAAGATAGGATCAAAATAGTCCATTATTAGGTATGTTTTATACAACCTTTGGATTTCCAAATTATACACAATTGCCCAATTATCTGAGTGTATCCATGAGTCTATTTTATCAATCTGATTATAGATGAGCTGGGACAAAAAGGTTATTTTTTGCAAAGAAATTCAACTAAGGTATTAACAAAATAGTGAGACGTCCCATTATGTATTAATATCAATATGATTTCATGCAGAATTCATAAAAATATGAACTTGCTGGGAGAATCATTTTTAGAAGAGGTTTCCTTTTTTCTAGAACTGGAAAAAGATTTCTACTGGTTGAGGGCTTTTCTTAATTCCCAAAGTGGGGAAAAAAACAAATTTAGTAGAATATTAATGTTGATTTTTTTTCTTTCATGAAATCTTTTAAGTCAAACCATTGACAACCTTTATAATAATAATCATGTGTTACATTGATTCTTAGTACATAATAATTATTAGACCTTTTTTAGCTTATGATATTTACATTCTTTGGAACCCTACATAGGATTACATGATTTTCAGGTGATTTCCATTTGAAAAAGTTTGAGCCATTTTGGCATAATCATAATTTATATTCAATTATTTACAATTATTCATTGTTTAAATCATTTTCTTCAGTACCTTTAAATATGGGTAGGGGTACAGGTTGACTATTCTTTATTTGAAATGCTTTGGAACAGAAGTTTTGGATTTCAATTCTTTTTGGATTCTGGGATATTTGCATATACAAAATGAGATATCTTAGTGATGGGACCCAAATCTAAACTCAGAATTTGTTTGTATTTCATGTGCATCATATATACCTACCTAAAGGCAATTTTAATCAGTTTTTTTTAGTGTGCCTACTTTTTTTTGGGGGGGAGGGTACTAGGATTGAACTCAGGGGCTCTCAATCACTGTGCCACATGCCCAGCTCTACTTTGTATTTTATTTAGAGACAGGGTCTCACTGAGATGCTTAGTTCCTTGCTTTTGCAGAAGCTGGCTTTGAACTCATGATCCTCCTGCCTCAGTGTCATAAGCCACTGGTATTACAGGTGTATACCACCACCCCTGGTGACATGTGCCTGCTCTTTGACTTCAACCCTGTCACATGAGATCAGTGTGGAGTTTTCCACTTGTGACATCATGTCAACATTCAAAAAGTTTTGGATTTTGGAGTATTTCAAATTTTTTATTGTTGGATTAGGGATGCTAAACCCAAGTCTTTCTGATTAGACTAGGAAACAGTCAGAATTGGGATGTATTTGTATTCTAAGTTGGCTTTAAACACACACCCAACACAAACACACTACCACGCAGAGTATATGTTGGGAAACCTGTGATTTTACAGGTATATAATCTTTGTTATTTAGATTGGCAAACTCATATTTGTGGAATATAACATACATTCAGAGTACTAGGAGTGAAATCAAATATCTTAGCCCATGAACAAAACCAGTGAACAACTAAACACGTGCCCCTCTTGTTGGCAAATTCAGTGTTTGAACATGTGTTTAGAGCACTGTCAGGCAGTAATTAACACTGGTAATTTTTGCAGTGTTTTAATGGCAAAGCAGACAATAGTCCAAGGACCCATTCTTGATTCAGTGTGCAGGCTGCAGTGTGATCATATTCAATTCATTATTTCATAATAAATCAATTCTATCAAATCCACCAAGAGGTATGTGGTATAATGCAAAATACATGAATTTCATAGTTAGAGAGACCTGCTTACAAATCCCTAGCACCTCCCTAAAAAGGGACAAAAATATCTATTTTGGGGGGATTTTTAAGAGCAAAACATCTCTTCCAAGTATGGTATAAGGTATTACCCACGAAATGTTTCTTTTCTTTCCCAAAGTAAGAAATACTGTCATATGATATCTTCTGTGATTTTTGATGGGCCCATTTTTCCTTGAATGTGGCAATATAGGAAGGAAGGATTACCACATTTCTTTCCCTGTCCTTGAATATACCAATGCTGAGTAATTTGGGTCAGCAACAAGTAAATGTCACTTACCTAAATCAGGCAGCGAAATGGAAAATGCACTGTTGATTGACAAAAGACACAGAAAGGTCAAGTGGAAAAAAGTTATGTTCAAAAAATAAGCTCAACAAACATTGATTACTAGGGGTCCCAATCCAGATGGTGCTTCCAGGCAAAGCTGTGAAGCAAAGCTCCTGCAGTTTTGTTCTGATCACACCCGCCCCCCCCCCCCCCCGCCCCGCAAACCTATTCAAAATGAATGAATCCCCACTGATGGCCAGTACTCCATTTCCTACCTACACAACTCCAGACTGCCCCTGCAGCCCTGAGCTTCTCCATCCACAGAATCCTGTGTCTATCTACTAACCTTCCAAGAGGCTAATGGGACACATTACATGTGGGTAAGTATTTGTGAGACAGAACAACTTACCGATGAATTAATGGGACTCGTATAGACACTGCATTCTGCCTATGTTATTTAAGCCAAAAGGGGACTTTTAGGGAGAAAGCCAGGCCAGGTAGAAATGTAACATGGTGAATTTCTAAATTGAGAAAAGGCATGTATCCCAGCTAGATTGTTTGGTGCACTTCACACCTCACCATTAAGGAGATAACATAGAAAAAAGTACCTATGTGTTTTAAGCCTTCAATTTAAATTTGCCCCTATGGGTATTTTTGGAGCACCCACCATGCACCAGGCCCTTGTGATAAGTATATGAAATGATTAGATCCACAGTTTCTGCCTGAAATGGCTTAGAGTTTTGTAAGGGAGACTAAAAATAAATTACTAGAGCATACCTTTTCTGTCATAATCAGGACTATGATATAGAAAAGCCATGTTCTGATGGATCTCTTGGTAGGTTTAGCTCCTACTAACAACTGGATTAAAACCATACAAGTTTGGAGCATTATGTCTAAAACAACTTCAGAATAGAATAGCATGATTCCACCCTAACGTAGGTAATGGTCCTAGTTAATTATTTTACCAGCCCTCACAAAACACAGATGTGTACCTACATCTGAGAGAGTTGTGTCTGGAAGCTACACTATTCCCTCCTCCATGGATGCAGGAGGAAACTGCAGCCCTGTAATACACATGGAAGTGATTTGCCCCTGGTTGCAAATTGAGTAAATGGCAGAACTGAAACTGGAATCCAGAACCCTAGTCTCTTTCACTGCCAGTGCATTTGGAACCTCTCCAAAGACTGGCAGTTAGCCTAAGTTATCCTTCCTAGGTTCAAGACTTTTGAGATACACTTCAGTTGAATAGTTCATCTCCTCATTCCACACATTACTGCTCTTCAAGACACATTAAATATGGAAGTGTAGACAAATAAAACTGCTGGAACCTGGGCCAAGAAAACATACAAGGACATAATTAATAACAATGCTTAGCGATAACAATGTGTGTTGATGCCTAGACAATGACAGAATTTTCTGTTCTGGGCTTTGCTTGCTTAAGACTTTCCCTCTATCCTTGTTTACAACCTTTTATCATCATTTTTTTCAAGAGGGGCATGCCACTTTCTCATTAGTAGCACAGAGGCTATTAGCTCAGCCATTGGTTTTAGTTTCTGACACTCCTTCCTGTCTCTGAGAACTGAGTGGAAGACATCAACCTGTGTGTCTACCAGGCCAGCACTGTTAATCCCTCTCTGAAGAGAGAAAAATGGTACCTTTTACCTTGCATTTTCTTTTGACTTGGTTTTCTTCATTTTAAATCTACCTTTTTCCTTTCTGAAGAATTGCTGCAGTCTTTTAAGGGCTTCTTTTCCATCTAAACTAAGAGGAATCAGAAGATAAACAACATGGCATTTGAGAGAGTCTTAGAGACCAAGGCTGCTGTAAAGAGAACCAGAGGCTGTGGTCTCATTTTCAGAACACCCTACTCAAGGAAGGGAAAGAAAATGCCTTATCAACTACTCTGCTTTTCTTTGCTTAGATTCTAACATGAAGTAGCAGACACCAGTCAACCATGAAGGGAGTAATTACATTGCAGCACAAACTTTCATCCATCGCAAATAGTGTCTTTTTTGCACAGTTTATGGAGCAAGATAACGGAAGCATACGATACAAACGGCACTAGAAATATAGGAATTTCTGGCTACTGAAATTCACAGTGCTGATTTTCAACTTACTTAATGGTGCAACAATGGTGATACACTGACTGTCCAGTTGATGATTAAAATTCTGCCAGTATACTTTTGGGGTTTGTGAGGGGTAAGGGAGTGATAACCTCAATCCCCTTTCCTTTTTAACCCTCAAACTTCTTGCTTTTAACATTTCCCTTTTGGCAATGTGCTCTTTATAAGTATTTGAAAAATAATGTCCGTTGGAACAAATATTGTTCTTGGAAACAGTGAATTATTAGATATTAAATTAATTTCAAATCCCAGAGACTGGCAAAGGTAAGCTGTAATCATTGATTTTTTTCCCCTAGCAAAGTAATTACAGAATTGAAGCAAATTTTATTGATATTTACTTCTTCTTTCTTATTTATTTCTTTATACAGTATCAATGTTCTCTATTTGGGTAAGTAGACGTTTTCTCACAAGAGAAAGCAATGTATTTAAATTTGTGGTGTATGATTCTACATAATCACAAATATCCTATTCATCACAATGTAGTATTCTAATCACTCAGCACAACTTTCTATGTGAATCCTCCCTTTAGTAAAGGTGGGTACTGGGGACAGGGATCATTGCTGAAGTTCTTATTTACTGGACCAACAGGAAATACCATTGAACTACAAAGCCAACAAAGAGAAACTCACTCTATTTTGGGGTAGTTGCTTTTTGTTTTGTAGATATCTTCATACATTTCTTCACTATTTTCTTCTGAAAGTAAAAAATAATTATTATCATTCATTATAATTACAGTTGTTCAGATTAATATTTAATAAAAAGTTACTGAGTTTCTATTAGGTGTAAGGCATTTTGATCCTTCTTTAAGTAGTTTGTAGTGGAATTTATGCACATTTCTATAAGCATGAAATAAAAATATTTAAACTTCTTTAAAATTATGTACAAATGAAAATTAAGACTCACTTCCAACCCTGATTCCAGGTCTGATCTGATTTATCAAAAGAAAGTTAATTTATCAAGATTGCCTCCTTTCACCCTCCCTTCTTCCCATATTTAACACATAACAAACTATATCCTTTTAAGCATGAGACACTGTGCCTAATGCTGGGAAAATGATGGGAAACCAGATACTTCTTGAATAATCTCTCTGGTCTAAGCATGGCCTTAGTCTACTGTAACACATAAGCTTAACATACACAGATAGCTGTTAATTCTACCCTGACAACACAGTATAATGGAAAGAACATTGGATTAAGGGTCTGAATTTTGAGGTTACAAACTTGACTTAACACATAATGAGCATAAGGGGTCACATAACTTTTCTCTGTGCCTCAGTTTCCTTTTTAAAATGACAGTATTGGATATAATTTTCTCTAATGTGGTTTTTCCATCTAAAAGTCAAAGATTCTAAGAAGAAACCCAACCAGAGTCATATTTGATTATCTCCATTGCTTTTTATTTTTTAAAATTATTATTTTTAATTGGCAAAAATTGTATATATTTAGGTGTTTACCAAACCATGTTTTTATTAACCGTATACATTGCAGAATAACTAAATCAAGCTACTTAGCATATCTTTTACCTCACATACTTACTTTTTTGTGATGAGAACCTTAAGATCTACTCTTGGGCTAGGGTTGTGGCTTAGTGGTAGAGCGCTTGCCTAACACATGTGAGGCCCTGGGTTCAGTTCTCAGCACCACATACAAATAAATAAAGGTCTATTGATAACTAAAGAACATTTAAAAAAATTTTAAAAATCTACTTTCAGCAATTTCTGGGTATACTTGTTATTAAATGAAATCATAATGTTTTGATTATTACACAGTAGATATCCTGAACTTATTCTGACAGTTTGTATCCTTTGACTAATACCTCCCCATTATTTTTACATTCATTCACTTATTCAGCAGATATATCTTCTTAAAATATAGCATTACACTAGGGGCAGGAGAAACATTGAGCAAACAGGTAATAATCTAGGAGGGAAGACAGTTATCCAAGAGCCACATAAGTATAAACTTACATCTGTGGCAAGTGCTATGAAAAAGATGTCCCTGGTACTTTAAGACTGCTCACCAGGAAGAATATTCCTGGCTAAGCTTACTCAGGCAAAGGGTCCTGGCAAAGAGGGAGGAGTTGCTGGTTTATTAGGGGCCAGCACTCATCATGAATATGCTTTAATTCTTGTGTCAGTCGCATAGCAGGTACTGTTATCATCCCCAAGAGGTGGGATTCTGGCAATCCTGGAAAGCTGTTGTGCCTGATATCAAGGGGAGGCTGAATACAGCATTCGCAGAAGTCACAAGGCCCCTAGCCATGTTAAGGTAGATTCTAAAAGTGCTGGGAAGCCATGAAACCATTTAAGTTTAAAAAAAAAATTCCTCTAGTTAGACTAGATCAGAAGAAATCAGGAGGGAAGCAATTGCAAGGAAACTTCTTGTTATCACAGGAATGCCCTTTCCAGAATCTTCACCTGCCCTCCTTGCGCTTACAAGCACACACCTTGGGACCACTTCCCTTAGCTTACCATCAACCCATCCAACTTATATTATTAAAGAGAATAACATAAACTAGAAGACACGTGGTCCCTGGAAGTTTCAGAACTGTCTCCCACACTTACCACTGTCTGAGGTAAATGAGCTGGAGAAGTCCAACTTTGGTCTGTGAAATAGAGAACAAAGCATTAATTCGTCGAGCCTTCAAAGCCTCATCAAGTGCATCTTGCTAAATGACAGGAAAGTACTTACCCATCTGTCTTAGGGTACTCCACATCATCATAGGTCTCCTCTGGGAGGGAACTTGACTTAAAGGCCCCTGGGCCTGAGGTTTCTTTAGTCACCTCCAAAGCCTCCATGTACCCACCTGTTAGGAAAACAGAACCGCCCTGAAGAACTTTACATCCACTGCCAACAGGAACGCATCACATACGTCACTGGCAGTGGACGCACAAGCAGGAAAACCCAAATCACATGTACTAAAACTGAAAGGTAATCTTGGCATATAGGACCCTTGGACAATGTGTTTACCTTGTAGAGTCTCAGTTACGATGCCCTGTGGTGGGGGATAATGAGAACAGCACCTTTCTGTTGACTGTCACAAGGATTAGTGCATATTTATGATGAGTGCTGGCCCCTAGTAAATCAGGAACTCCTCACTCCTTGATAGTTCTCTTCTGTTAATCTCTGAGCTCAAATGTTGAAGTCCTCCAGGGTATAGCTGCATCTAGATGACCTTATCCAGTCTTGTATTTTTCACTCAAAGCAAAATTTCTCAGACAAGTTGGTTGAGCATATCAACACTTATTATTTGTTAAGGATGGAGTTAGCCAGAAGATAACATGTCAGGCAGAAAAGTGCCTAGGGATTGTTTGCACAGGTTGCTAGCCTGCCAAATGTATGTGTTGGTTTATTTCTTAGAGCTGTAAATTTATCATAACCATAAAACTGCCACCTCTCTCTGAGTTGGCATAGGTTAATATTTAGGGTAATTCTGAACCACTTTCTGAGATAAACTATTAATCAAAAATAAGAAGTAATCTATCTAAAAAAACAAGCAATAAGCAAAGTGACTTATATATATTAATTAAATGAACCAAACAAGATTTTATCCTCTGGCAAGAAATAATTTAGCATGTAGGCTACAAACTACCTCAAAGAATTTCAGTTCATACAGGCAGAGGGCCCCACTTTTCCTCAAGAAGTTATCAGGGAATTTCTTCAGCACAAAGATGCTGCACACAGAGATGAGATACTTTCCTTTCTCAATCTTTCCTTTTGGTTGAGGCAATTGTTTGTGGCATCATTTTAAAAAAGACACTCCCATATTGATGTCTTCATCTTTGACATTTCTTGTGAATTCCAGACACTCAGTCAGCCTTCACGTCATTTCTATCCAGTTGCTCAAGCATCTCATTCCAAATCCGTCTCGCGATTTCTCTTCAAGAGTTTGCTGTTCCTGAATTCTACCTCATCTCAATACAAAACATCAGTTTCATCCCTTCTGTTGCTTAGAACCCAAACCTTAGAGACAACCTTGATTCTATTTTTTTAAGTTTTTTTTTTTGATGTACATAACAGTAGAGTGTACTTTGACATGTTATACATACATGGAGTATCACTTACTCTAATTAGGATCCCATTCTTGTGGTTGTACATGGTGTTCACTGTGGTGTATTCGTATGAACATAGGAAAGTTATGTCCAATTCATTCTACTGTATTTCCTATTCCCATTCCCCCTCCATTCCTTTCATTCCCCTTTGTCTAATCCACCGCACTTCTTTTCTTCCCCATTCTCTCGCTGTGTGTTAGCACACACACATTAGAGAGAACTTTTGGCCTTTCATTTTTTGGGATTGACTTATTTCATTGAGCATGATGGTCTCCATCCAGATCCATCCATTTACAGGCAAAAGTCATAAAGTCTTTATGTCTCGAGTGATATTCCATTGTGTGTATATATCTGTTGAAGGGCATCTGGGTTGGTTCCATAGCATTTGTATTCTTAATAATTGCCATTCTGACGGAGTGAGATGGAATCTTAGAGTAGTTTTAGTTTGCATTTCTCCAGTTGCCAGAGATGTTGAACATTTTTTTTTCATATACTTGTTGATCATTTGTATTTTTTCTTCTGTGAAGGACTGTTCAGTTCCTTTGCCCATTGATTGATTCGGGTTTTTTTTGTTTGTTTGTTTTATTTTTTGATGTTAAGTTTTTTTGAATATCCTGGAGATAAATGCTCTATTTGAGGTGCAGGTGGCAAATATTTCTCCCAATCTCTAGGCTCTCTCTTCACATTATTGTTTTCTTTGCAGTGAAGAAGTTTCTTGGTCGATACCATCACATTTATAGACTTTTTTGATTTTATTTTTTGTACTTTAGGAGTCTCGTTGAGTAATTCGGTTCCTAAGCCAACATGGTGGAGAATTGGGCCTGCATTTTCTCTTAGTAGGCACAGGGTCTCTGGTCTAATGCCTAGGTCCTTGATTCACCTTGAGTTGAACTTTGTGCAGGATGAGAGATAGGAGTTAAATTTAATCCTGCTACATATGGGTTTTCAGTTTTACCAGTACCATTTGTTGAAGAAGATATCTTTTCTCCAATGAATGTTTATGGCACCTTTGTCTAGTATGAGATAGCTGTATTTATGTGGGTTTATCTCTGTGTCCTATTATATTTCATTGGTCTTTGTGTCTGTTTTGATGCCAATACCATGCTGGTTTTGTTACTATAGCTCTGTAGTATATTTTAAGGTCTGGTATTGTGATGCCTCCTGCTTCTCTATTCTCATTAAGGACTGCTTTGGCTATTCTGGGCCTTTTATTTTTCCAAATGAATTTCACAACTGCTTTTTCTAATTCTATGAACACATGCCATTGAGGTTTTAATAGGAATAACATTCAATCTGTATAGCAATTTAGTCGTTTGGCCTTTTTGACAATATTAATTTTGTCTATCCAAGAACATGGGAGATCTTTCCATCTTCTGAGGTCTTCTTCAATTTCTTTCTTTTTTTAGTGTTCTATAGTCTTTATTGTAGAGGTTTCACGTCTTTTGTTAGATTGGTTCCCAAGTATTTTGTCTTTTTGAAGCTATTGTGAATAATGTAGTTTGCCTAATTTCTCTTTCAGCTGATTCATCATTGATATATAGGAACACAATTGATTTATGGGTGCTAATTTTATATCCTGATATTTTGCTGAATTCATTTCTGAGTTCTATACACTTTCTGGTGGAGTATTTTGGGGGGTATTCTAAATATAGGATCCTGTTGTCAGCAAATAGGGATAGTTTGAGCTCTTCTTTTCCTATTCATATCCCTTTAATTTCTTTCATCTGCCCAGTTGCTTTGGCTAGAGTTTCAAGGACTCTGTTGAATAGAAATGGTGAAAGAGGGCATCCCTGTCTTGTTCCAGTTTTTAGAAGGAATGCTTTAATTTTTCTCTGTTAGAGTGATGTTGTCTTGGACAACCTTGATTCTTTTCTCTCCCATATCTTACCTCCAAACAAAAGCCACCTGTCACCTGTACTTTTAAATTATATCCTGAATCCAGACCCATCTCAGCAATGCTGTTGTGGTGGTGCCCTCCTCTGGGCTATCATCATCTCTCACTCGAGTTACTTTATTCTTCAGTGTTCTTCACTTTCTCTAAGATATGGCTAGGTAGGTGTCAATTTGTTTTATTTATCATTTTTGAGAACTTTAGGATTCCTGGATCTGCAAATTTGTATTTCTGAATAATGTTGGAAAATTAATTATCCCTTTTACCTATGATTTTCTTTCCTATTTTTAGTGTTCTTTCATGGAACTCTGATTTGATGTCATTTTAAGACTTCTCATTCTATTTTCCATGATTCTTATCTTCTCTTTCATTCTTTCTAAATCATTTTCTTCTGTGGAATTTCCCTGTGTTGATTTTTTTTTTTTAGTTCACTGGCTGCTAGTTGTCTAAAATCATATGTATATTATTCACTGCATTTTATATCAATTTATTAATTTTTCAAATGCTTATTCCCTATTTATATTCTTATATGATATATTTGATCTGATGATTTTTATATTTCAATTTCTTGCAGGTTAGTTCTACTGTCTGTTTTTGTGCTAGTTTTTGCTCATTGTGAGTTGTTTCCTTGGGTATTAAGCTATCTTTGACTATGAACTATTAATTTTTAAAAGAATTATATGAATTATTTGAAACCTGAGATAAAGTAGATTTTATCATGGACAATTTATGTTTGTTTCTACCAGTTGTCTGGGAGGTTTACCAAGCAGAATTTAATTTAAATTAAATTGGTTTGGGGGGATATTATAAAAATAGTGTGATTTTAAACTGCAGAAGTGCATGAGCATCAGCTTGTGGTAACAGATTTTTAAAATTTTTCCTTTACCTGGTACCAAGGTCAAAATGGTTTGACTTCCTCTATTTTAGTGGGGTTTTCTTCATCCTTAAAGCCTGGATGTAACTTTGAGTTCGGCTGTAGTTGGATAAGTGTCCTGTAAGACCTGTGTAATAGGCTTGGTCCCAGCCCCTGGTGCTACTGGGAGGTTGTTATTATCTGCATGTGTAATGTCCCTCCAAGACTCATGTGTTAACAATGTAACAATGTTCAGAAGTGAAAGGATTCGATTATAAGGGCTCTGGCCTCATCAGTGGATTAATCCATTTGATGGATGAATAATTTGAATGGTCTTGCTGGGAAGTGGTGAAAATGATAGGTTTCTGGAGACATGGCCTTGGAGACTATCTCTGCTACTGGCCCCTTCCTGTCTCTCTCTGCTTCCTGGGTGCCATGATCTCGTAGCTTCCCTCTACCATGCCCTTCCACCATGATGTTTCTGCCTTGGATCCTGTGGACCAAGGACTTAATCCTCTGAATCCATGAGCCAAAATAAATCTTTCCTCCTTAAAGTTGTTCTTGTCAGGTATTTAGATCACAGTGATGAAAGGGGGACTCATGCAGAAACAGTGGGACCTTTATAAGGTCAGAACTAGTGGGAGGACTTCTGGTCATTGGAGCACTGCCCTTGAAGGGGATATTAGGACCCCATCCCCTTCTCCTCCTTCCTCTTTGCTTCTCAGCTGCCACAAGCCAAAATAAACCCCTCCTTCTTATAATTTGATTATCTCAGATATTTGCTATACTAATGGGAAGTGAACGCAGTCCCAACTTTATACAGGAGTCTCTTGTTATGAAACTCACCTGGGCAGGTCCCAGGATATACCTCCCATCCTCTGCACACCTCACAGTAAAGAGGAGCTCAAGGAATTTCAAGCTCTGAAAGAACCCTCAGTGGAAACACTAGCTTTGGCTGGTGTTTTCTTTTCATATCTGTTCTTTGACACTTTTATGAATATTTTTAAAATTTATTCTTCACTTTACTTGCTTCAGTTGTGAGAATAATTAGATTGTCTAATCCACCATAGTCTCAGAAACCAAAGTTTGACTTATTCTTCATTCCTTTGCTCAACAAAGTTTTGTATAGTAGCTCTCTTATGTCAGACACTGCCAGGGTCACAGATGTGGAAAAAATCAACACACTGACTCTAATCTCAAGGTACTCACAGGGTATCCTGGGAGGCAACACATAAACCAAGAATTGTAAGACATGCTACAGTTTTTCAACATATAAAATAAATGAAGACAACTAATAGTTATTTAATATCTGAAGCATACATTTTGTATCAGTTAACAAACAGCCCTAGGAAATAAGTATTATCCCCATTTGGACAAGAAAATAAGTAAATTTTTCAAGGTTACAGGATTAAGATAGTGGTCCTGGGCCTCAGAAATGCTCAACTCCCAAGTCCTAATGTGGAAATGTGGTCATTCTGCTGCTGTTGAAGTGTCATGGAAACAGGAGTGAGGAATTGACGGTCCTTGGAGAACCAGAAACAGGGAAGGTGGGCTGAAGGTAAAGCAGGCCTCAGAAGTGGCTTTCGGGACAGAGCTTGAAGGATGAATACACACCAGCTTGTGGAGAAAGGGCATAAGGCATTCCATATAGAGGACTACCTCACACATGCGACATGTTTAGCAACCTGCGGCCAGAGCAGAGAGTATGCAGGGAACAGGTGCGTGGTACAGCAGGCCAGGGAGGCTGGCAGCAGACTGGAGCCACCCATGGTCACTGAAAAATCACTGTTCCCATTGTGGCTGTAGCACTGGAAGTCAGTGACTAGCCATGGCCTATTGGGCTGGAGGACACATCTGTCTACCTAGATTCTACTCCCCACCCCACCACCAAGTAGCTGTCTTGTTTCCCTGGGGAATTCTCCAATCTGAGGGTTTGTCATTTTGGTAGAACCAAAATCCCAAGCTCCAAGGGGTATGACCTGGGTTGGGCCAATCAGAGCATCATACACTTAATGATTGGTTCAGGGACTAATTGTGGGTTTCAACTCATATCCTGGAGCTTACAATTGTTGGGAAGATAAAACTTTCTAGTTTTCCTCTTGGGTTTAAGAGAACATAGGTTGTAAGCTGGAAGCCATCTGCTGGAAAACAGAGTCACCACAGATGGGAGCAAAACCAGAGGAGAAAGGTGATACTGAGTCCTCGTGGTATTGCTTGTGTCCCTGGTCCAGCCATGCAGAGATTTTCTACTAAGTGAACCACCTTTAATTTTTTGATTAAACAGAGTATGCTTTAATCGTATTTGCAATCAAAAGTCTTGACTAACATGAAGGTAAAATGGAACCTAAATAATCACCAAGTGACACTGTATTATTACATATCAGTGTGTCATCAATGTGTAGGCTCCATGAGTCAGTTACTAAGACATCAGGTAAAGAAGAAAAGAATAAACATTTGCTGAGTACCTATCATATGACATGTCAGATCTGGTCCTCATAAAACCCCTGTAAGGTTCACATGATGATCCATTTTATAAATGAAACAATTGAAGTCCAGGAATGTGAACTCACTCACCACTCGCTAGCTTCATGTCCTCCGGGCAGACCTTTGTCTGGAGGATGTCAGTCAGGGTTTCCTGTTTCCCATTTGGCATGCTCCTTCGGCCTTCATGGACTCTGGTCATCTGGATTTTTGCAGGTGTCCCTTTACAGATATCTACCTGCAAATATGGAACAGGACATGTTCTGCAGGGCTGTAAATTTCCAATCAGTTGTCTGCTTCTGAAGGCTGTTTTTTATTCAGTCATTCCTTGTAGATAACTATTATTTACTATTCATTACTTAGTGCTAGGTAAGAGCACACAGTGTCCTTATTTGTCTCTGAATGGCCAGTAAATGCCTGGCACAGAGGCAGACTCCTGGGAGCCTGGCACCAACCACACTGTAGGTTCTTTGTATATTCCATCTCATATAACCATCTTGACATCTCATGAGAGAAATATTATCAGTCCCCTTGATAAAGAGTCTAGAGAGGTTAAGTAACAGGTCTCTGGGCCCCCAGTTAGTAATCAACTGTGGCAGGGTTGACCCCAGGACCTGTGCTCTGGACCACAGAGGGAGGCTGGAATATCTTCCTTGACATTTTGTCTTTCTATCCACCATTCTTCTTTCTTAACCTCTCTGCCCTTCCTTTCTCCAGAGTTGGTCAGATACTTCCTAAAGGTGAGACAATCCGTGAAGCTCTGGAAGCAGAGAGATGCAGGGCACAGAGGGGCCTGCCTGCTGAGTACGGAGATAACACAGCCAATTAGGGTGTGATGTGAGCAGCGTTGTCAGAACTGCTCTCGGCCATGGAAACAGCACAGGGAGGGGCCGGGAAGATGTCATAAAGCAGGATTTTATTAAACTATTTTTAAAATGTAGGTAGGAGATTGTGGAGGAGGTAAAGGGATACCTGGCAGATAATCAGCGTGAGTGAAGGTGTGCAGTATGTGGACAAGCGCTAGCGTCTTTAAAAGATAGTACAGAAGCTGTGGAGGGGAGGGGCTGAAGGAAAGGGGAGGAGACAGGAGAAGAGAGATGAGGAGGTAGAAAAAGAGAATGAGGCTGAGTTAGGAAGCCACACCTGGGAGAGCTGAGGGTCCTACAGGCAAGACAAAAATTTGGGATTTATTTCTTAGCTATGGGAAGAAACCTGATCAGATTCATATTTCAGAAAGATCTGGATAGACTGGCTGGAAAATACACTAGGGAGAGAACACTTTTGGCCACCTCATTGTTTTCTGTTGTCAGATGAAGAGGGAGAGGGATCAGCATCCTTCCCATGACAAGAAAGTGGATGTGGGCATTGACTATGAGAACACATTTGAAAGTTCTGAGAAAAAGCCAAATAATTGATAGAAAGCATGAATTATCCTGAGCTTTGTTGGGATCATGAGCAAATTATGAGAAGAACAAAAGGAGGGGGATTCTCTTAACTTCCTGTCATTTTAATAGGAAAGTAATGAAGTCAGTCTTTTACACAGACACAGTGACCATGGTCCTCCAACACAGTCCCTTGAAGAGCAGCACACCAATTCTCTTAGGGCTGTCTGTGGGAATGTTCCCAGGAGGCAATTTGAATCATGACGGATTATGTATCTACTGCCTAATCATTTATATTTGACCCCCAAAGGACACTATCCAGCTAAATTGCCCACTTCGTTCATCTAACACACCTCTAACAAAACAGTAACTTTTAACAATTTAAAAATGTAAACCACTACCCCACCCCCACCAAAAAAGCGGGAAGTGATTCCTTCGTGGTACCCTGACCCTACACCTGGATCCTTTCACATAGCTAGCACTGAAAAAGGGCACACTACTGCTTTTTCATAGTCAATATCCTTGGATTTCATATTGATTTTCTCATATGCTCCTGATCGACCCTTCCCTGATCTCCAGCCTCAACACTTACTTATGGCCTTGACCCTTCCCTCTGGCCTTGACACCCAATGCTGTTCCCCTGACTCCAGACCCTGTATTTTTCTAATCAGTGACATATTCCATCCTTTGAATTATTATTATTTTGGTACAGGGGATTGAACCCAGGGGCACTTTAGCTCTTAGGTATGTCCCCATTCCTTTTCATTTTTTATTTTGAGACAGTGGCTGGCTAAGTTGCTGAGGATCTCACTAAGTTGCTGAGGCTGACCTTGAACTTGTGACCTTCCTGTCTCAGCCTCTCTTCTATGGATTATGCTTCTCAGTGATATTCTCTAAACACCCAACATACCTTCTGCACCTACATACCAGTTTGGGCTCACAATGCCAACATGCTGTTTGATTAACCTAGCCCTGCAGATGGTGCTGGGGTACCCTGATTTTAAAAGACAGGCCCATCTCAGACATCTGGAATGTTTTGAGCCCTGGAGTCACCCTGGTGGCATCTGTTGCTTAAGCCTCCCTCCACACCAGCTGCTATGAAGGGGGAGTGGTCAACCAAACAGCTACAGGTCTGATATTAATAAAAGAAACATTTCATTTTTATGCTATCTTCTGTCTTACCAAGTGCTTGCAGGCACCTTTTTCCCCCCATCACAAACAAGGTAGAATTGGGATGGGAGTGGAGATGGGAGCTTGGGAGGGATTCCAAACCTGCCTTTTCCAATGAGATGACTGAACTCAGAAATGAAAACACTCTTCTAAGCAGGGACATGGGGCACAGAATTTAAGGAAGTCCTTGTTCTAGGATGTTATAAAAGCAGCATTTGAATGTGTCTCCCAAATTTCATGTACTGGAAACTTAATCCCCACCTCCCTGTGTTAGCCATATTAGGAGGTGGGGGCTTTGAGAAGGAACTGGGTCCCTCCATGGGCTAAAAGGAGTGGCTTTATCACCAAAGCACTTGCTTGTTCTGTCTCCCACATGATGTCCTCTGCCATGTGAGGCTTCAGTGTGAGGCCCTCCCCAGATGCCAGTGTCTTACTCTTGTACTTCTGGCTTCAGAACCATGAGCCAAATAAACCTCTACACTTTATAAATTCCTTGGTCTCAGGCATTTTGTCTATAGGTTCAGAAAATGGACTAAGAGATGGTTCCCAAGAGTGAGTGCCTGTACCTTTTGTGCCCTGGGTGCCTTGCTGGTCCCACTCTCATTGCAGCCCTGCGGAGGCCTCCCTCCTGAATCATAAGTGGAAAGCTGAGGGCGAAGCTCAGTGTTTTCACACATTTCTTCCTTGGCAAAGAAGTCCAGCACCCACTGCACCTTCTGATTCTTGTCTTAGTCTCTAAAATGTCCCACCCTGAGCAGATCCTTCTGCACGTCTGAATTATGCCATTTGACCAGGAACCCTCGACACAGATACCTTGGAAGGACTGTTTGTATGTGGATCTTTTTCTGTTTGAGGCTCCAGATCACACGGCCCTTTTTCCTTCATTCTTCTATCTGGATTTTCATGTTTAGGGCTGAAGTACAAACAGACACGAAGGAAAAAGTGGAGATTAGAGTGTCAGATGGCAGCTCAATCCTAAATTAAAGGAGAAAACTGAAAGACTTATTTTATTTTTTAATAAGGAGGGACAGGATCAGATCAACCATAGAGACAGCTTCCCTGAGTTCCTGCCTGCTCCAATCAATGCTGGAATGTCAATTCCTGCTTAAAATCACTAAACTCCTCATGGGTTATAGGATAAAACCCAGGCCTGGCTCCTAAATTTCTTTCCAATCCCATCTCTCTTTGCTTTTTCCCCCCAGTTTTGCTCAAGTCTAGATTCATAATTATCCAGACCCTGCCGCAGTCCGGCTGCAGCAAAATAACCGGGGGGTGACGAGCAACTTGTGTACATTGATACAGCAGGAGTGGGAGCCATTTATTGTAGGACAGGAGGGGTATATATACATTCCACACAGCTTATCTTAATTAACATAAACTAGATACAGCAGTCAACCAATAAGGAATCTCCACACTTAATGGCTCGCTGGCATTACTACACAAACCACTCCCTCTGCAAAATGCCAGGCGCCATCTTGACTTGTTTACAGACCCTAACATTTCCCCCTTTTGTTTAATTTAAATAACGACCATAGTGGTTTTTACACAAACACCATAAATAATCTGCTACAAGCAGAAGGGGAAGATGCAAAATGCCACAATACCAAGCCAATTGATGGCTCCATGCAAGAAGCCCTTGGAAAAATTATACCAGCAGTGACACCGTTAGCAAAGATACAGTTTGTTGTCTCAATCCAGATAAAGCAGTGTCTCAATAGATTAACTCACAGTCCAGGTAAATCACAGTCCAGGTAAGTTCTGCAGGCAGCTAGCTTAAATCACAGTCCAGGTATCCTCCTCCCTTCTGCTAGTGATGGTCTAAAATTTGGGGGCCAACAGAGGTGAGGCAAAGAACCTCACCCCCCCACACTGGCACCAAGGCCAAATTTGGGGGCCAACAGAGGTGAGGCAAAGAACCTCACCCCCCCCACTGGTGCATAGGCCTATCCACAAGTATGGCTGTTATGCTGGACCGGTAGTCAGTGACGGGTATGATCCAATTGCAGCGGTACCAACCTAAGACAGGAGGCTGACGCCTAGAGGTCAGCTCATCAGATGACGGGTAAGGACCATATGTTGAATTGGACAACCTAACAGGCACTGTCCCTAAGCCACATTGCTTGTTGTTTAATTAAACAGAAGGGGGAAGATGCTGAGAGCCATAGCCAAGTAGGAATGACGCATGGCATTTTGGGTTGAAAGGTGACCCTGCTCAGGGATTAGGGCGGATCCTGCTGGGATTAGGGCGTATCCTGCTGCCTCAGGCGCCTGCTCCTTTGGAGTTCCTGTTGAGTTCTCGTGGGGTTCTGAGAGAATTGGTGCGCGGAGCCGAGTGGAGGCAGGGTGTTCACGGGAAGTGTGGGTAGAGGTCGGTGAGAGTTTGGGAATAAGGAGTTGCTGTTTGAATCTACAAGGCTTTGTGGTGGCTTGGTGATTTTGTGCCCAGCCAGACTGCAGCAAGACCCACCACCCCTTTTGAGCAACTCTCCTTTTTCATTAGTTGTTTATTTTTTCAGACATGCTGTATTCATCTTATGCTGCTGACAAATACAAGATCCTTCTTAATTAAAGGCGTCTTCCTACAGTGATACATGCATACCCATGTTTACAGCAGCACAATTCACATTAGCCAAACTATGGAACAAGCCTAGGTGTCCATCAATGGATGAATGGATAAAGAATATGTGGTATATATACACAATGGAGTTTTTTTCCCAGCCATAAAGAAAAATGAATTTATGGCATTTGCAGGAAAATGGACAGAACTAGAAACCATCATGATAAGCAAAATAAGTCAAACTCAGAACATCAAGGGCCCTGTGTTTTCTCTCCTATGCAGAAGCTAGAGAGGAAAAGGAAAAGAAAGTGCATAAATCTCCTAAAAATCCAAGGGAATTCAGTAGAGGAGGGGTAGGAGATAGGGAAGGTGTGGGGGGGAAGTGCTGGGGAGTCATATTGGCCAAATTGTGTTTTGATATTGTGTGCATGTAGAAATATATAACAACGAATCCCATCAATATATACAACTATAAGACACCATTAAAAAAAAGAAAAGAAAAAAAAAAAGACCCTCTTGATTTGTCTACAATGTCTTATCTGAGAATCTTTCCCTGATTCTCCCAAGCAGTCACAGTTTCTGCTGCCCTAACATCCTGGCCTTCTGTGCTGTATGACAACCTGACTTCAATTCTTCCTTTTTGCCCTATCAACTAGTTTGCTGAGTGTGTGCAGCATGGGCTGGAATGAGAGAGATAGTATAACCAAGCCCCTACTGTAACCAGATACCTTCAAGAGGAAACCGAGTCAGGTCAGGCCCAGGACCCAGCTGGCCCAGAGAGGAAAACTAGCTTAGTCATGAGAGGGTCAGTGGCTAGGCCAATCAATGTTTTCCTTTTGAAGATAAAAACTCACCTAAGTTCTTGATGGAGAAAACTCTTCCAAGGCTGAAAGTACAGAGGAAAATAAGTCATTTTTTTTTCATAAATCCACCCAAATTAGGTTCTATTGTACAGCTAAAGATCATTAGGAGGCTGGACCAAAGGGTGGGGGGCAGGGGCACGAGCTCAGTACAGAGCCAAGGAAGTCAATCACCACAAAGTGTATCACGGAGAGTTTCATGAAGTACTGCCTGCGGGGCTGATGATCAATCAGAAAAGAAAATAAGCATTCTAAGCTTTCAGAGCATGCCTGGGGATGCAGGATTTGATGGAAAATTAAAGTGTTCTCTGTAAACCTTTTTAGGGATGCAGTTGTAAAATAAAGAACTTCTGAATTATGTGAGGAAATATGCATTTGTGGTATTTAAGCAGGGTTTCCGTGGGCACCATGGGTACAGGCAGGTGTGCCAGGAACGCTGGGATTGCTTCCTGACTGACCATACCCTCTGGCCCAAACTCAGCTCTCTCATCTATATTTGGCTCCATTAAAATTATGTCCCACTAATAACAATATAGACCATCATTTATTCAGTGGTCACATAACTGATACCATAAATTACTTGGAATCTCTCCAAGAACCCTGAAGAAAACGGAAAATAAGCATCTGAAATGCCACCACGAAATCCAGGTGTACTAGCTCACGTGTGCTCCTCTGAGGAGAGCCCTGTAGGCATTCATGCAGGGCCTGCTGGTTCTGATTTTATATATAATTCTAGCACTGGCAGGAGGACCAGTTAGATGGAGGTTGTTTTCCACCTTTGCTACATTGTTTACAGGTTCCTTAACTCCTCAAGCCTTCAGGGTCCCATCTGTAGCATGGAAGCAGTGATCCTAGCTCATAGTGCTACCACATATGCAAAAGTGCTTGGCTCACAGCAGGGCCTTGGTACAGGGTCTTGGCCAGATGAAAGACACAGAGGTGTTGACAGCAGATGGAAATGGTAATTGTCAGAAAGAAAACAATTACAGACAGCAGAGTTGCAGTGGTTTAGTGTGAAGACAACAAGCTCTTCTCCAAGGGCCCGGAGCTTCTCGAAAGAGACTGAGTTGTGTCCACTGACCCTACAGTCAAGGCTACTCCAAGGCAGTAAGAATGGATGAAACCAGGTGCTGGGGATGTGGCTCGGTGGTTGAGAACTTGCCTACCATGTATGAGGCTCTGGGTTCTGTTCCCAGAGCCAACAATAAACAAACAAAAACAATGATATCAGATGCCGCTCACCAAGCTTAAACATAGAGATGAATGTAAACCATATCTGAGGGTTAAAAACTAAAAATACTTTCATGCCTTTTAACTTGAAAGCTATGAGACTTGGTCATATGCAGGGCTCTCTTATGCAGGGTGTTTTGTCATATGTTGATGTTACCAGGTAGCTGAAGTTTTTATTTATTTATTTTCCCAGTACTGGGTGTCGAACCTAGGGGTGCTCAATCACTGACCTACATCCCTATTTTTTTTTTTTTGAAACAGGGCCTCATTAAATTGCCTAAGCTGGCCTTAAACTTGTGATCCTCTTGCCTCAGCCTCCCAGGTCACCATGAGTACAGGCATACACTACTGTGTGGCTTAGGTGAAGCACTTTTATAGATTGCTTCTACTCTTGCTCATAAGAATGATAGTCATTTGTATTTTTCTAGCTACAGAATGTACCCACAAATAAATAATCCTCATCAGAAAGTATAAGACAACCAAGAAAGAGAGATAAAGGATGTAGACTAAATGAATACTGTAAGGACAAGATAGGACATTAACTGGCACCATGAAGACACTAGGTATGCACCCACTGTGAGCCAGGCACTGTGCTGAGTGCTTACACACTTTGACTTGGTTCCCTCACCCATTCAGGGAGATAAGTATAGTTCCATTTATTTATTGGGCATCTACTACTGTAGATACAGTAACAAGGCATATGCTTCCTGTCTCCAGGGAGATGGATGACTCCATTTTATAGAGGACACAACTGAGGCTCACTAAGGTGAATTCTCTGTTCTAGAGACTTGCTAACAAACTCTTTACCGATACTTACCTTATGTTCATCCACACAAGGATTCCAGATGTGGGTGCTTTATCATCCCCATTTTATGGGTGAGGCCATGGAGATTCAAGATCACAAAGCCAGGAACTCTGGTTCTGCATGGCCTTCATCAAATGCTATATCACCTCTAAGGTGGCACCTTTACCATGCCCAACAGGAGCCCCTAAGTATGCCTTGGGATCTGGACAGTTTCTCAAAAACACAAGATAAAGAAATGGATTGGCCAAGGGACTCTTCCCTTAGCCACTGGATTCTGGAAAAGCCTGACAAAGGGTAAACCCAAAAACTAGGACCTTCACTTTCACCAAAGAAAGTGCTCTAGAATCAACCTTGCAGACTCGTTTACTCTTAATTGTCACAGTGGTAAGGAGAGAGGAAACTGTACCTTTTGGAGTTCTTCAATTTCAACTTCATAAGTTGCTGAAATAACATAAAAAATTATCTCAGGTCAGTTTGCCCAGCCATTTCTTACAGTACTCATGATTAAAGCAATGACGCAAGATGGCAAAGTTCAGTTATATCAACCTTCAGAGCATCGATCTATACGAGGCTCTGTCTACACAGTTTGGGAAATTCTAGGGTCACCGATCATGGTTTTAATTTCTGTGGGAATTTCTAACATGGAATTTATAGTTGATAAAAGCATACAGAACCATTTTAAGTTTCTTGGTTTACTAAATAGATATATAGTCCATGCCTAAGAGAAAGCACTGAAATTTAAAGGTAGCACTTTAGAAGGCAAACTTGAAAGAAAAAAGTGCCTAAATGCCACTTTGACAAAATGAACTCATATCATGTCCCAAAGTGAACTATTTTTGAAACACTGCTTGAAGAGGAGCCTGCCCATTAAGGCTCAAATATCTTTTGATTTTTCTGATACCTCTTTGGATTTATTTAAATGACACTTAATAATTGTATTAACAAATATAAGTAATGACAAGAATTTGGGTTCAAATTCAGTCCTGCCACTTCCTACCTGGGGGATTTCAGACAAATTACTTCATTTCTTTGAGCCTTACCTTGTCCATCTGTGAAACTGGGCAAACTGGTACCAAGTTCATGAAGAAATTAAAGGGGATGATATTAGATGTTACCTACTTAGTAGAACATCAGGGGTTCTATAAAAAGTGACGTGTTTTTTCACAAAATTGCTTATTTGGGGGATTTTTAGTTTTGTTTTGCTTAGAAGTTATTTATGCAAGTTCTTCCTCTGCTATTAAAGAATGTGTTTGTGACAAGCAGGACTTCTGTTTCATTTCTTTCTTGCTGCTAGAATCCTAAAGCTGACCAAACAACATGTTGTATTTCTAAGCTTTCATTTTTGCAAACACATAATTCATAATGCAATTAATGGAATCCAGGTTTTCCTTAGGAATTGTCAGCACATGATTCTTGTCACACTGACCTAAAATTCTGCAAGGATAATTAGTAATATGTACTTCATATTGGGTACACTTTAATTTTCACTGATTTTTACATGAAAAAAAATTCTATTCTGTCACTCCTCGATTTAAAATTTTAAACTATTAATATTTTCAAAAAATAACTCCTTGCTGGGTTGGGATTGTGGTGGGGTGGCAGAGTGCTTGTCTCATACATATGAAGCACTGGGTTCTATCCTCAGTGCCACATAAAAATAAATAAATAAAATAAAGGTATTGTGTCCATCTACAACTAAAAAAAAAATAAAAATAAAAAAAAAATCTCCTTGCCAGGCACAGTGGTACACACCTGCAATCTCAGGAGCTTGGGAGACTGAGGCTGGAGGACTGCAAGTTCAAAGCCAGCCTCAGCCACTTAGTGAGGCCCTGTGTTAAATAAATAAGGCTGGGATATGGCTCAGTGTTCAGAGTGTTCCTGGGTTCAATTCCTAGGTACCACCCCCCCTCAAAAAAAAGTCTCCTTACGATACAGTTTGCCCCATATCTTTTCCTAGTATGGATTTGGTCTACAAATTTAAAAAATGATAATCTCCTTCAATTTATTTATCTGTTTTTTTTTTAAAGAAAAAATTGTGATTTCATTTGCTTTCCCTAGCCACCGGGGGGGGGGGGGTAGAAAATACTATTTATTCTGCTTTAGGAACTATGAAACCAAGGCTCAGAGACACCTTAATTGCTATGTCTAGTAAACAGAGATAATACACATTCCCTTGAAAACATATTCATGATGTTAAATATTTTAACAAAGTAGGGACTCTTCAATAGTACGCTATGCAATACAAACCTACTCCAAGGTACAAAAAGGCTGTATCCCAAGGGGTCAGGAAAGAACTAGGAGATTTAACAAGGGGATATGACTCAAGCCCAGTCCTGGCTCACTCTATACTGAGTTATAGAACTGTCTCTCCATGGAATAGCTTTGCCTTGACTGGCAGAGGAAGGGCAAATGTCAGAAGAGGGTCCTTAGCCACCCTCCATCTACTAATGTCACAACATGGTCATGTCTGGGAGGCCCACAGCTAATTCTACATGTACTAACTCCCCGTGTGACCTTGGAAAAGTCCCTTCACTCTGTTAGACCAGTAGATGAGATGACTCTTTCTAATATTATAAAAACAATAATAAAAAGCAGCTATCATTTGTATGCATATAGCTAGCAGGCACTACGCTAAGTATTTAAGTGCACTATTCTACTCAACTCTTATGACAATTGCTGCTCATACTCCTTCTTTACTTATGGGGGAACACACAGAGAAGTAAAATACTTGCCCCAGGTCACTCAATTTGGAAATGACTTAACTTTCTTCTAATCATGGATTTGTTTATTTAAATGAACTATTACTCAGGAACATAATCAGAACTTCATCATTTGAAGGAATCTCTGGGGTCTCAGAAGCACAGTCCAGAAAGCACTGGCCCAGGTGACCTCTGAGGACAATTCTGAGAGCTTCCAGAATAACAAGAAGCCTGTACACCGGAGGCTGAGTTCTGTAAGGATGGGCAAGACTCACAAAGGCCCCGTGCAGGGCTGGGCTCAGTGGTGATAGTAAAAGCCAAACACCTCATCCTCTCCTGCTATTTAAAGATATCATTTAGATTCCTCACCTTCCTTGGTGGACAAGTCAAGGAAGAAAGATTCATTTTCATTTAACTTTTGGATAAGGTGTAAAAATTAGCTCAAGGGTTTAGGTTTGTTTTGTTTTTGTTTTAATCTATGGATATTCTGTTGTTACAACACTTTGTTCAAAGGCTATCTTTCCTCTGTTGAATTGCTTTAGCATCTTCATAAAGAAAACAATCAAGTGGTCATATTGGCATAGGTCTATTTCTGAGTTACCATTGATTTCTATGTGTCTCCCTGCCAATGCCACAGTCATGATTACTGTAGCTGTAAGTCATGAAACTGGGTAGACTGATGTTTCCTTATCTTTCTTTTTCAAAACTGTTTTTAGGTGTTTCAGTTCCTTTGCTTTCCCATACGCATTTAAGAATAATCTTGTCTATTTCTACAAAACATCTTGCTGGGATTTTTATTGCAATTGCGTTAAACCTGTGTATCTCGAGGGGAGAATTGAAATTTTCTCTTGTCAATTTTACTGTATTGAGTCTTCTAATCCATAAGCAGGATATGTCTTTTCATTCACTTACACTTTGATTTATTTAATCCAAATTTTACAGTTTTCAGCATTTATGTCTTATACATGCTGTGTTAGATTTCAGTCTGTCTTTTTTCTGAGCCATTGTAAAAGGTATTGTATTTTTCAATTTTAGTGTGTCCACGTGTTCACTGCTAAGATATAAAAATAAAACTGTATCATACAACCTTGCTGAACTCAATTATTAGTCCCTAGGAGGGATTTTTAGGAAAGGGAGGTTGTAAATTCCTTAGGAATTTCTACCTAGATAATCATGTCACTCCAAAGAAAGGCAGTTTTTATTTCTTCACTTTTGATCTGAATGTCTTTTATTTCCTTGCTTTACCTTATTTTACTGGCTACAACTCTCAGCTCTGTGTTGAATAGGAGTGGTGAGAGATGCTATTCTTGCCTTGCTCCCAATTTGGGGATAAAGCCTTCAGTATTTGTGGTTAAGCATCATGCTTCGCTGTAGTTTTTTTTTTTTTTTTTTTTTTGTGTGTGTGTGTGTGTAAATGTGCTTTATCAAGGTGAGGACATTCCCCTCTTAATTTTTCAAGAATTTTTGTATCATGAATGGGGGTAGAATTTTATCCATTTTTTGCATAGATTTTATATGATTTTTATTCTCCATCTGTCAATATGGTAGATTTTGTGAATGGACTTCTCAGTATTGAACCAGTTTACATTTCTGGAATAAGACACTTTTAGTCATGGCATGCAATTCCTTCTAAAATCTTCTGAATTCTGTTTGCTAATATTTTGTTAAGGATTTTTATGAAACTCATAAAGAATGTGAAGTTTTCTTATTTAATTGGCTTTTGTCTAGTTTCTGTATCAGGATAATACTCACTTTATAAAATAAATCAAGAAATGTTTTCCATTTTTCTGGAAAAGATCACATAGAATTGGTATATAATTCTTTAAATGTTAGTATTTTTCTGGTGAAGTCACTTGGACTAGGATAATTGGAGGGGGAGATTTTTCAAATTATGCAATCAATTTTCAAGAGTTACAGGACTACTCAAATGATTTATGTTGGGTGAGGTGATAGTTTGAGCTTTTAAAGGAATTACTCCATTTTTACCTCAAAATGTCAAATTTTATATGTATGCAGTTCTTTATAATATTCCTTTATTATTCTTTTGATGTCTACAGGATCTGTGATGATATCCCTGTTTCATTTTTGATATTTGTATCTTTTTTCTTTGTTTCTTTGTCAGTCTTGCTAGTGGTTTGTCAATTTTATTGATCTTTTCTAAGAACAAAGTTTTGGTTTCATTGATCTTTCTTTTTTTTTTTGATCTTTCTTATTTTAATTCCATTTACTTCTTTTATCTTTGTTGTTTCTTTTCTGCTCTCTGCTTTGGATTTACTTCGCTCTTATTTTTCTATGTACTTTAGGTAAGATCTTAGATTGCAGCTTGAGATATTTACTTTATGATTTTTTAATTAAAAAGTAAAAAATGTATATATTTAGGATACACAGCACTATATTTTGGTATGCAAATGCTTTGTGAAATGGCTTAATCAAACTACTTAATGAACATATTATCTCCTATATTTTTTGAGGTGAGAACACTTAAAATCTACTCTTACCATTTTTAAAGTATTCAATGTATTGTTATTAACTGTGGTCACCACAGTGTAAAGTAGATCTCTAGAATTTATTTTCTCGAACTAAAATTTTGTTTCCTTTGACCCAATGTCTCCCTGACCTCCTCCTACGCCTGCTGCTGGGAATATCATTGATTATACTCTCTGCTTCCATGAGACTCACTGTAGATTCTACATATAAGCAAGAATAATGCAGTATTTATCTTTCCAGGTCTGGCTTATTTTACTTAACATAATGTCTTCCAGGTTCATTCACATTATCATAAATGACAGAATTTCCTTCTAAGGCTGAATAGCATTTCATCCTGAATATATTACATATTTACTTTATCTCTTCATCTCTTGATGGACACTTAGGTCGATCTATATCTTGGTTATTGTGAACAACGCTGCAATGAACGTGGAAGGCAGATCTCTCTTCTTCATACTGATTTTATTTCCTTTGGAGGAATATCTAGATGTGGGAATACTGCATCATATAGTTCTGTTTTTATTTTTTTTCATAAATTTCATATTGTTTCCATTATAACTGATTGCCAAAAAAGTCCCTTAATTTTATTAACTCTTCCACATTTTGATTTTTTTGTTATTACAAGTTACATATTTTATATTCCACACCTCTATCAAATTGTTATAGCTATTGTTGTTTTTAGTCATTTTGCCTTTTAACCTTCATACTAAAGATAAAAGTGATTCACACCCCACCATTACAGTATTAGATAATTCTGAATTTGTTGTGCATTTATTTTACCAGTAAATTTTTACCATTAAGTTTATATGTTTTCATGTTACTAATGGGTGTCCTTTCTGCTGGAAGAACTCCCGTTAGCATTCCTTGTAAGACAAGTTTAGTGGTGGAGAATCTCCTCAGCTTTTATTTGCCTGGGAAAGTCTATCTCTTCTGAAAGACACTGTACTGGGTCAAGTATTGTTAGTTGGTAATTTTGTTTTTGTTTTTGGTTTTTTTTTCCCCTCACAATTTTTCATTTCAATCCATTCTCTTCCTGGCTTGTAAGGTTTTTGCTTAGAAAACCACTGCTAGACATATTGGAGCTCCTTTTTTTGTGATTTACTTTTTTTTCTTGCTGTTTTAAGAATCCCCTGTGTCTTTGATTTTAACAGTTTAATTATATCTTGTTGTAGTCTTATTTGGATCAAATCTGACTGGAAACACTTTACCTTCCCACACCTAGACAATTTTACCTTTCTCCAGCTTTTGAAAGAAGAAAACTTAAGAAACTCACCACCTTATCCTCCTTCACTGATCTCAATGTCCATCTTCTTCTACCTTTCAGAGTCTTCTTGTCTTCTTATGTTTATTTTTCATATATTTTATACATATATAATGACCACATTTTAAAAACTATACTTAGCAGGAAGGAAGGGGGAAAATACATGGGCTCCATCTTCCTAGAAGCAGGGTTTCACTAGATTTCAATGTCTTATTTTATCAAACACTCAAAAACTCCACAATAAAAATAGTATACCCAATTTCTAGATGAAAAAAAAAAATTAAGGTTCATGTGTCATCCAGGGGCATAAGGAGGATGGAAGAAACTAATAAAACAGATGAAGAAGCACAGTTTGGGGTGAAATAGCTCCACTTAGCTATCTTCTCTCGTTTTCCTGGAGGGTGTTATATGGTGGCTCTTTAGAGAAAGGAAGGGTAAGGGACACACCACACACTTTTGATCCCAGGCTATAGTTCCTCAGATTCTTCAGGCCTAGCAGATTTATTCTTGTCTCCCACAAAGATGCCCTTCTGAAAGGGGAAGCCCTAGCCACCATCCCTTCCCCAACCCCTCCTTCCTCTTGCTCTGTTACCTCCCAATGCGATTAGGGGCTTGTTTTCTGAGCCCTTTCTATTTTCAACCATAAATACTCGGCTCCTTGGCAGCAGAGCCCTGTTCATGATGCACAACCCAGGATCTTTCAGTGAAAGAATGAACAAGGGCCTGCCTCAGTGACTCCAGCTTTGGGTATCTAAAATGATGTCCCTTGGACGTCTCACCGTTAAGATTTGTGGCCTGGAGAGAATAAATGCAGATCTCTGGCCCCATTTCCCATACTCGGTTCTTAGCTTCACCCTGTACCATGAGTGACCCTTGCATGAATCCAAGCTCCATCCACCTCTCCCCATCCCAAAAGCTTTCCCTGAAGCCCAGTCTTTCCTGAGAAGACCCAATCAGGAGTGGGGGAGTCATTGCACAGGGCTGGATTCTAGGGTAGGGGAGTCTCATGTGATCCAGAGAGAGAAGGTACAGGCTCTGATTGGAGCATCCCCTTGTCTCTGTATACCTTTTGGCCTTGCAGAAGGGCATACAGTTGGAATTTAGCCCAAATGGGGCACCAAGCCTTTCTATCCAAAGTGTGGTCTCTAGACCAGCATCATCATCATCACCAGGAAATCTCAGGCCACATTGCAGAGCTACTGAATCAGAATCTGTAACTGGACAAGATCCTTGGGAGATCTGAGGGAACTCTAGAAAGTGAAGAGCCCTGCTCCAAGATGGGATGCTCAATACACTGATATATAGGCAGCATTGCCTTCTGGGAGCAACGGGGTACAGGAGTTCCTCTCCTTTATCTAGCATTTTATAAAACATAGGGAAAATCCTAACTCTGCCCAGTTGAGGAGAGAAGGAGTTTTCTAGTACTTCTCTAATCTCTTATTTCCTGGGCAAGGGAAGGAAAATGTCAATAGGGTCCTCATTCTTCCTTCATGAATTTCCCAAGAAAATGGCTTCCTTTTCCCAAGTCTCGAGCTTATTGTTCTGTGTAATAAATTAATGAGACTAGATGATCTCTCTTTAACCTTCCTTCCAGAAAAGCCACACTTCTGTGAAAGAGAAGCAGCATAAAACTGTGGAAAGAAGGTGGGATTTTGAGGGAGGTTGACCTTGCTTACAACTGTTGCTCTACAAGATACAGCATATATGATCTTGTCCAGCTCAACCTCTGATCTTCAGTTTCCTGTCTCTAACAGTGAGTGATAAAACCATTCTATTACAGACATGTACACAGGACCTAATACAGAACTATAGTCCATAGTACAGGTTTGGCAATCACTTGTGTTTATTCTGGCACTAATATTTATGATTTTGCAGATAACTAAGAGATTCTTTAGGCAGAAACAGACATTAAATTTGCAGAAATGTTAAGATTCCCTGCTTCTTCTAAGAGGGTAAGAGAGTCTCCATTTTTTCACAAAAAGCTTGAATATTGTTGTCAATATCAGAGGTGGGAAGACTTAACTCTGAAACAGTGGTCAGATCCATTAAATAAATTCCCTTCTTCTATTTGGATTGAACACAACTGCCTAATTCTCATGGTCTCTTATCTCCATCTCCATGTTCTGAGTAACGAGGGAACTTCAAGAAAGACACCACAAAAAGAAAGATGAGGTTTCTATAGGAGAAGGAAAAAATATGAATCACTATATCTTGATTTTTTTTCTCCTACGTATCTACAAAAAGCAAAGCAGCTAAGTCAATTGGAAAGGAGAGGAGAGGAGAGGAGAGGAGGAGGAGGAGGAAAGGTGGAGGGAAGAAGGCAGTAATAGGAATTGTAAACAGCACTGATGCCCAACTGGACTTCTTTATATTTTTTTAAGAGATCAGACATGGCAAAAAATAAAAAGAAATGAGATGGTAGAACAGAATGGCTGTGAGTTTTTTTAACTTACACTTTGCCAGAGGGAAAAATACCATTTTTGACACATTTTTATTCCACACAGGGTTACAATATTAATTGGCTTAGCAGACTTACAATCAGCAATTTCTATTGCAGTGCACAGGTTAATGGAGTTGCCAGAGTGTCTCCGATATGAAATTGTTGCCTCATAATTATGTGGTTCTTCAAATTCAGCACTGAGAAGCACAGACAAAAAAAAGGTTATTTAAAATAAAACATTTCTTTAAGCACAGTTTAAAACTCTTTGTATTTTTTTCTCATTAGAAAGTAATGTAAGTGTGTCTGGCCAATACTGTGACCTAAGCAGACATGGAAGGCACACACATCTCTCCTTTAAAAGCACAGGAAGTCTAGATGAAATATAACCGTGCAAAGTACTGCACAAAGATTACATAGCTCACGTGGAAATCAATAATGTAAAATCCCCGGTGCCAGTTACAGTGAGAAAACCCACAGTAAAAGTTGCTAAGGAATACTGTAGTCAAGGGACTCCAAGGGAAATTGAGACCAGATAAAGAAAGGACTTAATGATTGGGCAGTTGGGGATTTGATGTCTGAGTCACAGGCAAGTCTGAGCCACAGGCTTCATCTGAAGGGGGAGCTGTCATTGAGCTATGAACATGAAGTCCAGAGTCACACAATGATGTTCTATCTGTAAAATAAGTTCTAGAAAGAAATTGCACACTCTCCCAGAGAAAGAGCAAGACATTTTGTTGTCTGACTATGGCAAGAGAATTGAAAGAGCTTGATTTCTCAAATATGAGACATCATAAACTCAAAAACCCAGCATCAATGTGGGATCTAAATTCATTCAACCTGTATAATCCAGAGATGCAAAGCCAAAACTAGAACTTGAACTTCAAATCTTCCTCCTAAAGGCAAACCTGAAATAATTCTGTGAAGTTGTGTCCAAAACCTCTGGAACCTATGTCTGCAAAGAAAACAGGACCCTCTTAAGTCAGTCCCAAAAAACAAAGGACAAATGTTCTCTCTTATATGTGGATACTAAGCTATATCAAGGGAGGGTAAGGAGAGGAAGCACAGAAGTTCATTGGATTGGACAAAGGGGAATGAAGGGAGTGGGAAGAGGCAGAGAAAAAAGATAGTAGAATGAATCAGACATAACTTTCCTATGCTTGTATACGAATACAAGACCAATGTAACTCCAAATCATGTTTAACCACAAGAATTGGATCAAAACTGTAATGGGTTGCACCCCCTATATATATGTCAAAATACACCCTATTGTCATGTATATCTAAAAACAACAAATTTTTAAAAAGGGGGGGCTTATAGCCCAAAACAAAACCATGCAAGGTGATGGGCCACCACAGCATGCACAGGAGATGCAGCTAGTAGGGGGATCAAACAATAGAGTTATATGAAAAGGAATTTAGAATAAGTGTGTTTTTTAAGTTTTCAAAGAAATTGAGTATTAAAAGCTATTAGGCAGATTTAGGAATAGGTGGAAGAAGTTATAGAAATCATAATTATAGTTCTTTTTTTTTAAAGAGAAAGAGAATGAATTTTTTAATATTTATTTTTTAGTTTTCAGTGGACACAACATCTTTATTTTATTTTTATGTGGTGCTGAGGATCGAATCCAGCGCCCAGCGCATGCCAGGCGAGCATGCTACTGCTTGAGCCACATCCCCAGCCCAATTATAGTTCTTGATATAAAAAATTAATGTAGATGGGGCTGGGGATATATATATATATATATATATATATATATATATCTCAGTTGGTAGAGTCTTGCCTTGCATGCACAAGGCCCTGGGTTCAATCCCCAGTACCACATACACACACAGACAAAAAAAATAATAATGTAGAAACTGAAAAGCATATTAGATACAGAAAAAAGGAAACTGATAAATTAGTTAGATCCGAGAAAATCACCCAAGTATAGTAGAGAGATTAAAATAGAGAAAATAATGAGAGAGGTTAAGAGACAGGGTGGATTGAAAAGGGACAGCATATTCAGGAAGCAAAGAAGAAAAAGAACAATGAAAAGGAGTCACTATTCAAATGACAATAGTCAAGACTTTTCAAAAATTGAAATGGGACATGAATCTTTTTGTTGCATCAGCCTCAATAATGAGAAATAACAGTAAATCCACACATGTGGTTTGTAATATGTAAGAACAAGTCAAATAAAAATGTAAAAGCTGCATGAGAAAAAGATAGTCAACTGAGGACAGAAACCAGACTGGGAATGTGTTTCTCATTAGTACAGTAGCTGGTGGAGAAGGTAGAGAGTACCTTGAAACACTGAGGAAAGAAAGCTGTCAATATGAAGATTCTAGTCCAGCTAAATTATCACTCGAGGGTGAGAGAGAAACCAAGATATTCTTAGAATGCAAGTCCATGCATTTAGTATTCACAGACCTTGCTGAAATATACCAAAATGATGCACTTTGGTAAAAAGAAATTGAACTAGTAATGAAGTGTGATATAAGGAACAAGGGTGAGCAAAGGAATTAATAAAGCAATCGGGAAATCTGAATAAATATTGACTGTGAGGATTACTAACTTGGAGAAGTTTAAGGGAATTACAATATTACCTAATAATATGGAAGATAGAGGGAGAGTGCTACTGGAAATTCTTTGCAGGTCTTTATATTATTGAGGAGCAAGGTAGAATTTTTGAATAACATTAGACTTAGTTAATTGTAGATATCAAAATTTGACCATATGCACTAAAAAGAAAAGAAATAAGGATATTTAACTTTTTGACTGATAGAAGGGAGACTTTTAATGGAAAAACATTTTTAAAAATGAGGAGGAGGAGAAAGAAGACAAAATACAAGTAGAGAAACTATATAAATTATAATGGCAAAAGTGCAAAATAGATCAAGAAATATAATTAATGCACTTAGATTAATCTACTCCAATTAAAAAGTGTATATTTTAACTATCCAGCTAATGCTGCTAAAAAGTAGCCCAAACCCTGGAGATTCCAGAAAAAGGAATGAAGATCTTAACCAAATACTACCAAAACCCTCAACTGAAGTAGGCTTATTAATATTAGATTATACTTTGACAGAACTTATCAAGAAAAAAGAAACCAGTAAAAATGAGTGCAAACATACACGGGGAGCATGTGCACACAAAGAAAAGAACAGAGACAAAATTAGAAATAGTTTCATGTTCTCAAAAATCTAGGAAAATGTTCTGATAAGTTTTTTGTGCCAATAAATTTGAAAATTTAGGGAAAACTGGCAAAATTGAATAGAAATGTAAAATTACCATGCTAATTGAGGAAGAAACAAGAAGCCAAATATGCCAACAGGTCATGAAAAGGCCTAAACCCACTCTACCCTCTCTCTACCACTACCCTACTACCACCTTTCTTCTTGCTCTCTACCAAATAATCTTTTAGGCAAGTTTTAATGAACTTCAGAGAACAGAAAAAGATGGAAAAACTACTGATTTAAAGAGAATTGTATAATTTTGATATGGAAACCATAAAAGAATCATTCAATAAAAGAAAAATATAGCACCATTTCACTGAAGAGATTTTAGTCCAAACTCATTAAATAAAACCCTAGGAAAATGAATTAATCAGTGTTAAAAATAATTCAAGAACAAGTAAAAATTTCAGGGACGGCTCAACATCAGAAAATGTATCACTGTAATTACTTCATTTTAATGAGAGGGAAGAAAAACAGACCATTTTAATAGATGTGAAAAAAAGAGTTAAACTTTGTTAATTGGATTAACCTCCAAATGTCATACTTAACTGTAAATCGTAACAAAAGAACAGTTAATACCCATATAAACTCTGTCAGGAACTTCAGCAATAAGAAAAAGACAAATCCAGGGAAACTTGGGCAAAGGTTTATGATAGATATTATTACAGAACAGCAAAGTTGAAGAATCTCTAAAAGGAAATTTTTGATCTCACAGTAAACAGGGAAATGGAAATCAAGACAATGAGAATTCAGTTCATACTCCTCAGATTAGCAAGGATCCCAGTTAAAAAATAATACCTCTTTGGGCAAGAAAACAGAAAATCCTTTATTGTGCTCAATGGCACACCCATTTTAGAGGATGATTTTCAGTATCTAGTAACACCAGAGTTGTTTGTTAATTGGTTAGAAATTCTACTTCTAGGTAAGCAGCTTTGAGAAAGTTGCTTGTATTCATCTAGAAGCCTTAGGGGATGGTGACTGCACCATGGTTTAACATGGTGAAAATTTAATACAACCTCCTGTCCCTTACTAAAGGAATACATAGGAGATGGTCACATGTGCATTGGATGAAATACAACATAGCAACTCTAATGAATAAACTAGACTTACTTATATCAACACAGAAGAGGAAATAGCTTTGTTAAAAAACAAGCGAGGAAGGATCAAGTCAGATGACATTTATATAAAAATTTAAAACAGTTTATCTTTAACAGGTGTATGAGTTTGTAGTTCAACTATGAGAATATGCAAATTAGATACACTCACAAATTCATGATAGGAGTTGACTATGGGAAAGGAGGAAGAGAAATGGAACAGTGAAACCAAGGGACACCATCAGGGACACCGGCCACCAGTGGAGGTGGATATCCAGGTGGGGATAGCCAGGAGCAGAACAATTACCATCATCCTACCTCTTCCCTTCCCCTTCCCAGAATGAGGTCTTTGCATCTAGGTATCCTTCCTGATTTTTTCCCATTTATATTTATATTCATAACAGTTGCTATTACAGAAAAGGTCTGGGTTCTCTTTTTTTCTTGTTTCCTGCGTTTAGTATTACATCATAAGCACATTCTACCCAATTATTTTACCTCCTTTTTTTTTGACCATTTGGATATTTTAAAGCTTTCTGTTCTTTTTTTTTTTTACATATTCTATGTAATACTTTTAAAGATATAGGGATAGTTCACTTTGTTGAAAAAGAAACACTATGAACTTAACGCTCCAGTGCCTTCTCCCTTCATATTTCTCTCCCTTTCCCTCCACATGAAGTAATTGAGAGAAACTTCCTTAAATTATAGCCTATGCCATATATCTCATGCTCCAGTGCCCTAACAACCTCATTGGATCTATGGTAAATTAACTTTATTAATAAGAAACAATTTGTGGAAAAAATTGAAAGAAGACGTCTAATCAATTACTTGTACTTTTGTCAGAAATGAATAAATATCTGACTCCCCATGATGATAAAGAATTTCAACCAA